GACACTACACACTTGTCGGAAGCCTTACCCGCATGTATGCCCGTTAGTGCTGAGGAAGGTCCCAAGGCGCCTGAGCTGCAGACGGAATACTCGTGATCGCATCGATGCCTTTCGGAGTCTTAGAGCGTTTACCAGATCACGATTTGGAAATGGCACTTCAATGCTAAGAAACGAGCTTCGGGTGAGCCAAAACGAAGACCACGCAACCACGGATAGTGATGATGTTAAACTGGACTCATTCAGGTTAGCGCATCTTTGGTACGAGCGTTTTGACTCAAGGGCTGGGGAGTACGATATGACGGGCATCAAACTGCTCGAAGAAGAGCCTGGCCAGATAATAGTCCGTGGTCCTAGAGGCTTAGCACAAGAAGAGTACTAAGGTCAGTATGGAAGCATTTCAGCCATTAGACGAGTTGATAAGGATTGTACTTGTGCTTCTCGCATTGTGCTGCATACACACTATCAGATCTTAACAAGTATACAGTTCTAAAGATGATGTATACTCCCAACTAGAAGATGATTTACTGGAACACTTTTGTAAAATGGGATACGAGTTGCAGCCGCCCTTGGTAAGGTCTTCTTGGCTCGCACTAGATCGACATGTCGCGGTTTTGCTGCCGCGCTGATAGCTGCTCCTGTGCTCCGAGGCAAGCGCGCCGGCTTGTGAGATCCCGGTGTTGCAGCTAGCGTGATTCATGATCAAGATTGTGCGCCGCAAGATTATAATATAAAAGTCCGACTTTGTTGCCAACGAAGGTATCCGTCATGCGAAACAACAATACCTAGGTAAAGTAGAACGGAGCAGACATCAAAGTGCATCTTCATCCGCACGGAGGGTTGAGAGCGCCAAGCTTAGGAAAAGCAATAAACTGCATGATGCAGGATGGAAGCACAAGACGAAAGGTGGTGTTGCGGATAGGCAAAGCCGACGGCATCATAGCGTTGGGGGCGCAAGAGACGTCATCAAACTCACGCTAGTACACGACTGGTTTAGCGGAGCTCGACGCGATCGGTGTGGGTACAGCGCGGCAAGTTTGATTCCGAGCTTGTGTTGCGTTTGTGAATTGTATTGCATTATGCGTATGCATGGGGTATCAGTAAATTTTGGTCGATGGCGTGTATCAAAGCCGACTTTTAAGGGATCTTTTTGATCCACTTCCTTAGAACATCTGCCTGTTCTTCATCTCCACAGGCAAAAAGCACATCAGTAGTGCAGATAGCCAAATACCACCAGCGCCTAGCCAGAGGATACCAGAGCTCTGATCTGCCAGAAGCTGAGCACCCGCAAAGGGTGCGACAATTCCTGCAATACGACCGAGACAAGAAAGCATGCCACTCACACTACCACGGTAGACAGTGTCGAAGAGCTCCGGCGCAGACGCGTACAAGACCGCATTGAAATACTGAACACATGTCAGTATTGGAAACGATGAGTTCGGAAATCGTCACTTACGGTTTGCATAATGTACTCCAATGCGTTCAACCCCACATAAGCAGCGGTCGAAGACACCTGGGTATACATTGCCATGGAGATACCCTGGCAAAGGGCGGAAAAGACCAGTGACCACTTTCGACCCACAAGCGGCAACTGAATGGACGCAAGAGCCAAAATGGCACCTATGATACCTGGGAAATAGATGATCAAGTACTGCTCATAGGTGTCGCTCACAGTTCCTCGGCCTTCATCGACGTTGTTGCGTAGCAGGATAAGCGGAAGGAAGGTACCCGCCAGGTTAAAGGACCAGTAGTCTCCCTGTTTTTGTTAGTAGGGAACATGATGATGGAAAGTCAAGCTGCTTACCATGTATGCCAGCGCAAGCAAGACGAAAGTGAAAGCGGTCAGCTTGTTGGTGAAAATGCCCTTGAGGCGCGTAAGCTCCTTGCCGAATCCTTTGATGACTTTCTTGGTGGTATCCTTGGTACTTCGAGGGGAGTTTCGTGCGCTCGGTGTGGCATTACGCTTTTTGGTGAAAATGCCCTTGAGGCGCTGAAACCCATTGCCTTTCTCGGGGGTAACCTGGGTAGCCTGGGTAGTTCGTGGTATTTCGGTGGAAAGTCGTGCGCTTGACGTGGCATTGGACGATACCTCATCTATGGCGGCAAACATCTCCATAGTCAACGTTGGAGCTGGCTGCTTGTTGAATTTCGCAATCCTGTGCAGGACGTCAAGGGCCTCCTGCTCTTTTCCTCGCGCAAGCAGGAACTTCGGGGACTCATGGAAAGTGAAGACGAAGTACCGAAGGAAAAAGACGGCCAAGGTCATACAGCCAAGCACTATGACAGTGTAACGCCATCCCATGTTACTGTCAACGGTACAGCAACTAACTCCAGGCTCGACGTCTGGACAAGCCGGCGCTTCGGGATCGCAGCGCCATTTCGCTTGGCCGGTGGTGCCGTAGGCAATGCAAGAGGCAATGGCGACACCGATGGGCTGCCACATGGAAAGAAGCGCGACAAGGAAGCGGCGGTTATGAGGTAGAAACTCGAGCGCGATGGTCGCATCGATAGGAATGTTACCTCCGAGACCCAATGAGGCGAGGAAGTAGATGGCGCATATCGCAGGGTAGTTGTACTTGGGTGCGGCCTGGCGTATTATTAGTCATCAATGATAGAAATCGCGGCTCCATGAACATACCAGTAAAAGTCCGAAAACGGAGGTAATGAGACAAGTCAAGTTGAAAGCCCACTTGCGTCCGATGATATCCACAGCAAGACCAAAGCCGAGCGCACCGACAGCAAGTCCTGCGTTAGCAATTGCAAATATATCTCCAGTGTGTTCGTCCGAAACTCCCATCTGCAAATGCTTTAGTTCACGGTACCCGCTTTGTCTGGCCTAACTCACCTCCTGGTAGATGGCAGAAGCAATTAAACCAACACCTTGTGACCAGGCGAGATCAAGGAAGTATCCAAAGCCACAGAGGAACCAGATGCATATCTGGTATCTGCCCATTCCAAATTTATCGAGCTCGACATTGATGAGGGCGGCCTTCTTCTCAAAGGTGTTGAGCGGGTTTGCGGCTGTGCCTTTGAGAATTGCAGCGAAAGACAAGTCGGTTTGGTCGACGCGTTCTACGTCGTTGTAGATGGGGATTTCGACTTTAGCGCGCGCATTTTCGGGGTGCTCGACGGGTATCTTCTCCTCATCGCTGAGGTGCGCAGGGCTGCGCTCCGACTGCTTGACATCCATCTTGACAGCGGCAGGGCAAGCTACTGTCAAGGGCAGGGTATTGTCAGGTGACTGCGCGTAGATTGGGTGAGAGTGAGTTGCCTCGTGGTAATGGCAGTTTACAGGGCCGGTACCGTGGGACAAGGTATGTTATACGTACGCGGGGAACGAGTAGCCCTTTCACGCTACCGTCGACTACTGGCGAAACGGATCTAAGCGATGAAGGCGCTACGATCTAAGTGCTGATCCAAGCCTCGTCCGTTCAACGGCCCTCATGTCCAAGACGGCAGAGGTTTAGCTGATCCGATCTCATTGGGTGCCACCGACTGATGACGGCATAGCCAGTAGCCTTGTCGCGCGACTTTGCCTGACCCTGTTCTTGCATGGTTTTGTTCCTTCGGCATGGCCGTGTAGCGATAAATCTTGGACAGCGACTAACAAGATGCACTAACAGCTCAGCTGATTAGAGTCTGATAGGTTCGCCGTTCCGTCGCGATGCGATTGTAGAACATAAGCGGCGGCAAATGCACCCGTGGACGGATACCAACAGAGATGCACTACGCAGTGCCTAGACCAGTAGCTCCGCTTGAGGCTGAGGGTTACGCAGGAGGAGCAGCTGCACCGTCATTTTCTGGCACGCTTGCTGCAAACTCCTCTCCACTCTCCAATATCACCGCGGAGCTCCACTACCAATCTCAATCTCGCCATCCACAAGACTGGCGCTGGTACCGAGATCTCTTTTTGCCATGACCCGCCCTCCCCAGTTTTTCGAGATCCTAGGTTCGTTATCGGCGACTGCCTTTTCCATATGTAGTTTAGTGTAGAGCCCGATAACGCCACACGAAACATTGAAGTGATCGCATGGCCCGCCTCGGTTACCTGCACACATCCTCACGTCACGATTGATGACTTTTCTCATTGTATCCACCACTATCTAGGTAGCCTGAGTGCGACTGACACGAAATGACTCCCCTAAAGACTCGTATGGAGGTCATTGTTAGCTCTCCGGCTAAGCGTTGTCTCATCACCGAGCGCGCCAGGACGCACTCGGCTCACATCTGCCGTTCAAACGCCCAGCAGAGAGGTCGTTGTCACTATCACAGTTCATCATTGCCCGAGCAGCCTTCGGGATCGAACAGCTGGCCAAACGGTACCTATACGGAATCTGCGAATTCATAGCTTTTGTCGAAATCCGCGATCGCTGCTGCACGCTTCAAGGACAGTTTATATGTGTTTGCATAGCGCTTCATATGTCGTTTCCGTGGAACCCGTAGTGCTCTTATGAGCGTTTTCCCATTCCATTCCCCGGTCAAAGCTCGCTGCTCACGGTCTTTTCCTTGATATATGTACGCGTTGCGAACGTGTAGCTGACGTTCTAGACATTGAATATCCTCAAGCTTACCTGTCTATATAAGCACTCTTGCGCCGCGAAATATCGAGCTCTCTAGAACACATCGCATACATACACCCAACACGCAAATAAGCAACATCTTGTACAATTTCCAGTATACGCAACCAATCTACCTACCTACACCAATATAACGACTCATCGCCTTACACCATATCATCAATCATGAGCCACTCTTCCCCTATGGACTTGCCTTCGAACACTATCCAAACCGAGGAACAAGACCCACAGAACTGGATCACATACTGTGATGTACATCGCCTTCCGTTGCTAGCCGATGAAACAAGGCCAATCTCCATCGGAGAGAACGTTCTATCCAAGGCCTCAGGCAGGTTTCTATGAGCAGACTTGATGTTCGAGATCGTCAAACGGCAACCCACTACATCTAATATCACTGCTTGCCTGGAGACTGCGCCGGATGATGCTATGGAACTGGTCCCATTGTTGTTGCAGGTCTACAGCAATGTACTTACACGAGAAGAGCGTGAAGAGCTGTCTTGGATCATATTACTCCTAACACACAACCAACACACTGGCCACACCTGCACCCTTGCAAGTCTCGATCGCATGTTGTTCGAGACCTCGCTGACTGGCCGCACGGGCACCTCTCTCGGTGAAAGAATACGCGACAACTTCACTCCTCTGTTTGATCTCGAACAAGAGGATGGGATCTCCCTCAGTCATCTCAAAGTCCACGATCCTGCACGCGCTTTGGAGCTTACGTTCAAACCTTCCACGACGACTGTTACTTTTGCGCACCCATCGCTCATTGAGTATTTTCTTCAACACCGCGACAAATCTCTCAACGGGAGGGTGAAAGATGCCCCTGTCTTCAACAGCGCTGAGCTACATTTTCGCCTACTGCAGCAATGCTTTCTTAGTTTCGCTGAGCCTCAAAGCGAACCTTTGACTGAAGCGGCCGAAGCGTTTCGGAAGTACGCCGCTACTCACTGGTACACCCACCTCGCAGGCACTTTACCGAGTGACAATGTCGAAGCCCTGAATCTTTCGGAAGACGACCGTGAAGAGATGTTAGGGCCTCTTAACCATTTCTTCAAAGATGAGAATATCGTGCAGCACTGGTGTCAGCACCTACCAGCAACATTCTTCAGCAGAGCCAGATCCGAAGATGTGGGCGAGTTGAAAAGTCTTTGCTATTACCACTCAGACCCAGAAGCGTTCGAGTTTATCAAACTTAGCGCCTTCATGAGCTCCAAGAAGTGGCAGGACTTCTGGCTACCAGTAGCAAAGGTGCACGCCAAGAAAGGACTACATGGCGACTGGGATCGAAACCACTCACTCCAGGTAATCTTCCACATCAAGCACCTCGTCGATACAGAAGATGCGGTCGCAGATATCCGAGGAGAGTTGTCCCAGCAAGAGATGACTGAGGCTGCGGAATGGATCGAGTTGGAGTCGAAGACAGATCCGCCTGAATTCACCTTGAAAGAAGAGAGCTCAGGGTTTGAAGAGGAGGAGACATCGTCTTCTGTGGCGACTCAGAGTATCATTGAGGCATGATCATGTTTGAGTCGGATGTGCTAGGAGGTTTCAAAGTAGATGTGAGCAGGTCGAAAACAGTGTTATGATGCAGCCAGTAGTACTTCAAGATACTTAAATCTATTCTGTAAACGCATTGATCACGCTGACAGCTATCCGGCTATCGTAAGATAACCCGAAAACGTGTTGCATAATCGCTGTATTGATTCATGCTACACGCGATGCAAGATGAAGAAAGACATATGGCCTCGCCGAATAACTCCGACCCATGCTATATATCCAATCACCTTTCTCGTATCCTGCCCATCCCGTCCACCTTCTCAGTCTTCTTATTCAACCGTCTCCACCACGTCGTTTGACTTTAGAGGAGCCATCACGATAGGTCTCTGGTCGGTCTGCACAGCAAATCCCGACGCACCTGTCGATCCACCCGCAAGCGCCTGCCTCAGCTGATTCAGTATGGTAAACTCCGTGCGCAGCTTAACAGCGTATACAGCGACCTTATAGAAGCCCTGCATGAAGAAGCGACCGCTATAGGCCAAGCCCAGGACGCTGGCATCGAGCATGATTATGAGGACGTTGACAGCGATCAGATTGCGCAGATTGTCTCGAGTAGTGCGACGACTATTGCCGAGGAGCTCGAGGCTCTGGAAGTACTTCGATGTTTGCCAGATGTATAGAAATCCGATGACGGATTCTTGGGTGAAGAAAGCGGCGACTTGTACTTTGTCCCAGATCAGGTTGGCCTTTTCGAGTCGTGCGCTGAAGCGTGGGTGGCGCTACGATCAATTAGTATGGTACGGCTGCTTGCGACGAGAGACGTGCAGCAATCATCCCGAACAAGACTGTGGTAAGGCCAAAGACGACCGAGTTAGTAGTGATCATGTAGAGAATATAGCGATCTTTTTTCGTGTTTCTCCACACGAGGCCGAGGCGAGAGTAGAGAACAAAAGACTGAGCGACGACGAAGACGAGCCATGAGAGGTAGATGAAGACGATGGCTGAGTAGGATGTCCATTTGTTAAAGTTGGCGAGCAGGATCGAGATGCCGTGCACTACGAGACCCCAACTGCAAAGTAGACAGCTCCAGAAGTATAGGCTGCGACGCGTAGCTCTGTAAAGCAGGCGGATATTGAGCTCGAGGCAGATAAACCATGCGACTCCTAGGAACGCTGCTGCGGCCATGGAAGATGGTCGGTCGGCCAATTCGGGTGCCTCGGGAAGGCTGGGGTCTGTTTTCGAGGTCATGGCGGCTAGCGTTAGTTAGGTGCTTCTCGGGCGGGTGTTGTTGAGTGTCGCGAGTTGAAGATTCTGGAGGCTGCGAGACGATGAGGTACGATAAAAGCTTTGTCGGTGTGGGAAGATATCGGTGGTAGAAAGTGTTCTCGCGTGGGCGTGCCTTCCTCAGTCACCCTCACGGTGACTGCCATTTTAGACTCGGTACCGAGAAACTGCCCAGGGCACGCGAGCACACGAGCACGCGAGCACATGTTGAGTGCCAAGACAATATCCTCGAATGCGACTGCTCTCCTAGAGGCAAGTCACCGTGCCCTTCATAACAAATATCAGGCCGGCAAACAAATCGGTGAGATATATGAGGCCACCTCTTACCAAGAAAAACATGTCTTTTTCCTAGTATGAGGTGAGGCAAGAACGTGAACAAAATGATAACTTTTAAGATCTGGCAAGTTGCATGACGCAACAGATGACGAACCTGACACCTAGCATGCTGTCAAGACCACGTACTTTCGTCTTGCATACCCCCAATCTCACTTTCTTGCGGAAGTGTTGACCTCAGCAACGTTCTCTTGCCTGCTCAAGATCTTCTTAGGGCCCCAAGTACCAGCTCTACCACCGGGATCAACACGACCCTTCTTGGGACTCATCCTCTCACCACCCCCGGCGCCTCCATTGAGCTCTTTGATGTTCTTGGGTGCGGCAGCCATCTTGATGGTCGATACGGTGTTCAGTGGTGTTACTGGAGCGTTGGCAGGGCCACTGCCAGCGCCGTTTCTCTTGCCTTTTGGCTTCTTTCCAACTGACGTCTCGATCCAGGCACCCCCCTCTTTCTTGGCCTTGCGCTCAGCTTCCTCTTTCTCGCGCTTCGCACGCTGTTCCGCTTCTCGCTCCCGTGCGGCCTTGTCGCGAGCCTCACGTCGGACGCGCTCCTCCTTGGCCCTCAGTTCCGCTGCCTGCTTCTCCCTCACTGCGCGCTCGCGAGCTTCGTAGGCCTTGGTAAACTCGTGCTGCTCGAACCGGACTTGGGCTTCAGTCTCAGCGCGGGCCTCGAGCTTAATGCAAGGGTAACATGGGAAGTGCGATGAGCGAGGCTTATCGTCGTCGCTAATGTCGGGGCACACGTTGTTGGAGAGAAAGCCCGGACGGCACATCTCGATGTACGGGCGATCAGAGAGATGGCCACATGTGTGCAGCTTCTTCCAGTAGAGACACATCTTGAAGAGACCTTGATAATGTCAGCAACTTGCGTAGGCATGGCTGCCAGCTAGTACTTACGTTGTCAGAGTACGGCTTCAGATTGGAAAGAAGAAATCGTGATGGTTTGGAATCGCGTGTAGAAGAAGCAAGGAAGAGTGGAAGACAGCTGTTTTAGGCTTGAGAAAGGATGCAAGGTGCATTGAGGTGAGAGAATGTCGAGTGGCTCTTACTTCGCACATGGCTTATCGTACGCAAAGCGGCAGGAGCGTCTAAGGTGAGAGAAAGAGCACTGTGCGAGGAAGAGGCGGCCCTCCCTCATCGGGTAGGCAACAACAGATTGCAACGACTGAATGGAAACTGAGCCAAGAAAGACGTGCGACTGAGACCAACGGTACAAGACATTGAAACTATAAAGGGTATATCCATCGCAATACACAGACCATCAAGATGTGATGTCCATCCATACAAATATCCTGGGTATCCTACCTTCCTGAAAACATGCACTTGGTAGCATGCCGGGCCCAAGAGACGCCGCAAGAAATGCCTGCAAGTATACTGAGAGCAGGAGATAACAGCGCAGAGTTGTCTACGCCCTCATCTTCCGTCGCATCTCCGGACGGGCGCCGCGATGCTCAACCTCGGTGATGCGGCTGCCGCCAATCTCCTTGACCTTCGCTACAAGGGTGTCGGTCTGATCGAGCTCCTCAATGTCATCGCCGCCTCCTATGCTCTTGCCCATAAGCAGGATGTTAGGCACCGTTCGTCGGCCTGTCGACTTGTGCAGGAAGGCTTGTAGTTGTTGGCCGATTGGGCTCTTATCGAGTTCCACGACGTAGGGTTCAGGCTTGATGTTGTACTTCTCGAGCAGGATGTGTTTCGCTTTCTTCGAGAAGGGGCAGTAGGATTTGGAGAAGATGATCACTACAATAAGTTAGTGACTGCGCATGGCTGAAACAAGCGAGGAGTAACGTACTTGGGCTCTTCTTCAAGATGGCATTGAGCTCCATCTCGACTTCGTGGTCCTCGAGCGTCTCATGCTCCATCATGGCTGCTTGGTCGCGCGGCTTCCCGCCCTGTTGCGCGACGCCAGGGACCCTGTCGCCGTCCATCTTGACGCGGCCCGCGACACTCTTCTGGTCCTGCCCTTCCACCTTGACTTTGTGGTCTGTGTACTTGTCCTCGGCGTTCTTCTTCGCCTGCTCTTCGGCGGCTTTGAGTCGCGACCCGACGCTCTCTGCATCGCGCTGCTTCGCCGCTTCTGCGTATTCCTTTTCTTGTAAGGCTTGTTGGGTTTTGGTGTAAAAGTCGGATGTTTGTGTTTGGTGGGCTCCTCTTGACATGTAGAACAAGACGACGACTGTGACGACAATGAGGATGCCAAAGAACCTCATGCGACGTTGCGACGGCATAATGGCGATGTGTGCAGATGTGGTATGTGTCGTGTGATGGGCGGGTGCGCCGTATGCGTAAAGTGTTAAGCTGGTATGTTGCTCGAAGACTGCCGGTTACCAATGGCGGTGGAAGTATAGAGCCTTGTTTATACGGATCGACGGGCGGTGCTGATAGTATCCGTGGTTCGATGGAGGTCCGTGGACTGCGATGGTCGCAGGAGCGCGGTAGAGGCGCGTGGTGATGATTAAAGGTATGGGAGACGTGTGCGATAATCCTGCAAGGGAAACGTGTACAGAAAAGAAGTACACAATAACTGCTATATTCGCTGAAACAGTGCGGCGGTTTAGAGTGTGTTGGTGAGTTGGTGGACCCGGCGCTGGAAACAATGTGGAGGGATGGTGGCCCTGGCGTCTTGCCTTGGTTCGCGTCATGCCGCTTTCCGCATCTCTCCTCACTCCATCCCGGTCAACCGTCCGCCTGCCAGCGCTGTGATTCGCGACTCTGAGCCACGGTGCCTGCCTAAATCCTCTTCTGTCCTGGCCTTCTTTGTTTGCATAGTTCCATGCGCTCCCAATGTCTGCCTAGACGGTGGACGGCACGCATCGTACGTAATTACGCGCACATGAGGGAGTTGTCTTGACGCAGTACGACACTCGATACAAACCCCATTCGAGACCTCCACATTGAATTCGCAAACACGCAGGAGCACAGCGATGCAAGGCGAAGACGTTGTGCTGTGCCTCTGCTGACCACCCATCCCTGACCGACGACACTATCGAAATGCCGCCGACACCCCGACGGCGCGTGACCTCGCGTTGATGGAAAACGTTTCCAGCTTCAAACCAAGAACGTCGGATCGTCTACTCCATCAACACACGCCGTCGACTACTCCCCGCGCAAGTGGAGGTGCCGTCTTGTCCCTCTCTTGGTGTACTCGAAGCATAGAGTAAGCTCCCCGCACCATGCGTCTCACGACGACATGCAGCCTGTGACCAGGTTCTCCACAGACGGCTGCAGTCCTGTACTGGGTTTAGCGCCTCCCCATACCGCTTTCGTCTGTTCCGCTACATGTTCCAGATCGTTATAGCATATAAAGCTCACTACGTCTGAGACTGTTCGGCTTAGTACCGTGGCACTTGAAGCGATCACGTTGTACACATCTCCTTGTACGATTCCAGTCTTGACCATTGCGTCATCCACCGTCCGACCATGTCTCCGCGCCTTTCGTCAACACCTATTTCCATTGTGCCTTCCGCGTCTGAAGTCAAAGCCGGAGGGCTCAACCAACGCAACCTCGAGATCGCTACCAGAGCGCTCTCTCGCGATGGCCTCGTGGTGTTGGAAGACATGATTGACCATGCAGTCTTGGACCGGTTGAACAAGAAGATGGTCCAGGATGCACTCGAACTGCAGGCAAGAAAGGACAGTCCCTTCAACTACAACAAAGGAAACATTCAACAAGATCCGCCCATGACCCAGGAGTGGTTCAGTGACGAAATCTACGCCAGTACGTGCCATCGTAGCAAATTCTGCCACGCTCTAAACACATACTAACCTTGGATTAGATCCCATCGTGACGCAAGTCACTTCAACCACGCTTGGTCCTAGGCCTTCATTGCGCTTCATTTCTGGCAACACCGCATTACCACCAACTGCGTCATCGCCACCAGCCTCGCAGCCGATCCACAATGATGCAGACTTCGATCACCCCTCAATTCCTTTTGCCCTCGTGGTAAACGTTCCTCTCGTAACTATGACGCCAGAGAATGGCTCCACAGAGGTCTGGCTCGGTACACATCAAAGTACCACTATTGCCGACCAAGAAGGCGAACACGGCAACCGTGCCAGCGGAAGGATCAAGCAGCAGTTGCTCGATGCGCGTCGCGAGGTTCGGCCACCCACTCAGCCGGTCGTGAAGAAAGGTAGCATAATCGTTCGCGATCTGAGACTCTGGCACGGAGGGAAGCCCAACCTGAGCGAAGATCCGAGAGTTATGCTCGCAATGAGTAAGTTCCGTGCTGGTCTGAGATTCATTCAACTGACTTCTTTTCACAGTACACTTCGCGCCATGGTATCGAAATTCGATGGAAGTCGAGCTGGCGGAAGAGCTCGCTGAACGCTTGTCGCCCGAAAAGACTGGTCTGCAGACCGCGGCCACGTACGTTTCGAGTGAGCAACTGCTCAAAAATTATCTGAACAGGCCATTTGGCAATGCGTACGATTTCGATCAGACAGAGAAGATTGACAATGTCTTCTGAGGTAAATTGAGCGCATTTGCCGCCGATCGGCCTCTTTACCGCTATTTAGCAACCAACGTGTCGGCTTTTACGCTGTCATCACTCAATTTCACTCATCTCGTATCCCGCTCCGCCCACTTGGCACCGCCAATTTGCACTTGATATGCCCTGCAGCTTCGCAACGTCGATCATTTGATAATTGGAGGTGTGTCAGCATCACAGCCTAGCAGTCGTATGCGCCCACAGCTGAAACCGACTCCTCATTGGTAGGGCGGCTTACGCAAAGTGCTCAGTAAGCTTCAATGGGCACGTCAGCTGGAGGAGAAGTCAAGGCTTGGCGACCATCGTACGAACACCAACATCAGCATCAAGTGGCCCCGCCACGGACACCTTTCCTCTATTTTCTATTTTGATTCTTCTGCCGATGACACGTTACTTTGCTTTCATGTTCTGGACCAAACCAGCTGGTGTCATCCTTATCTCGCCGTGGAACCGATTTGCATGTATCCAGCCATGTACACAATACCGGACGATCAGAGGTTGCACGGCACAATTGCACAGCCAATAGTCCAAATGAATGCTGGAGATGCGACTAAAGGCATCAGAACAGCATTGGCGGTGGAGGTGCCGTTGATGGTACTAGCCTTGAGCACCGTTATCCTGAGAGTATACTCAAGGTTAGCGATCAAGAAGAAAATGGCGCCGGATGATATCTTGATCATCTTGGGCACGGTATGTGAAGCCCGGATTCAATCTGCTACTATGGGAATCTTGTAATTTACTCAAGCTAATCGTAATCAGGCCGCAGCTCTCGCACGTACCGTCATATCTTGTATGAGTGCCGATGACAACTGGGGTTACGATCGTAAGGGGTGAGTGCGCATGCTGCATAGATCTTTGCGGCCCGTACTGACCACTTTGTCAGTCCCGATCGAATGTCGGAAGTTCCCTTCTACCAAGTCAGACTTCCATCGTACCTGTGGCACACCATACTCACATGCAACAGCACATCTTCGAACGCCGCGTAGCGTACATCTTTGCCGTTACGTTTACGCGTTTTTCGGTCTTGGCCTACTACCTCCGAATCTTCCCACCGGGGATGGCATCGCTCCGAAAGTGCTGCTACGTCCTCATCGTCCTGGCTCTTGCGCACTTTATCGAAGTCCTGACGGTTCTCATAGTCTTGTGCGAAGATATCAGCAAGCTATGGACCAGGAACTGGCTTGACTTCACTGGATCCCAGTGCTTCAGTTCTGCCCTATACAGTTACTCCGCAGCGATAGGAGACAGCATTGTGGATAGCATGATCTTCGCGCTCCCGATCCCATACGTATGGCAGCTTTCCAAACTCAGGATCCGGCAACGGCTTGGCCTTGTTCTCGTCTTCGGCTTAGGTTTCATCGTTTGCATCGTCGCCTTACTTCAAATTCCTTTCATCAAACGACGAGAAGGCGATATGAGATACTTTGGTAGCGCCGTCAATATCCTGATCGCGATCCAAATCTCGTTTGCCATTGTTGCAGCTTCGCTCCCCGACTTACGCGCGCTAGTTGCACGCAGTTTCGCAAGATTCTCGCCTCTCCATCATCGAAGTCTCGCTACAGCCGGGCGAGGATCAAGCGCCGACAACGAAGGGCGCTCAGCCAACCAACGCGATGCCGAGCAGTGCTTCCCATCCTCGGCCAAGATTGGAGAGCCACAGGTTGCGTTTGACGGAAAAAGGGTTTTTAGAAAGCCAGACTGGCTGAGGAATAGCATTCCTGCAAGTTTGATGTCAACAATGATTACACACAACGAGGTCACTCGGTTGTCGAATGAGAATGACCGATGTCATCCCCAAAGATGATTTCAGATAGCGGAATTAGGGTAGTCTTTAGCCATTACCTATCCCCATTGTACACTCATCAGATTTGGTGAAATCTGTCAACCGACCCAAAGGGTGGTGAGGCAGGTCTTAGGAGATCAGTCTAGTACCTGTTCAGCTAGCCTCGAGCTATGTCTATGATCTGCATGAACTGTTGTACCCACTGCTGCTTACATCCATGATACCCCGCAATCGCGCAGTCGCAAGCTGAAATCCAGCTTGGCGAGTTGCCTTACATGCGAGCAGAATGCCCAACCCAAGTTAGATCATCCGTATGCTGCTCACGCACCTGCCTTTCTTCCAAATCCTCGGGACCAATCAAATACAGAGTGTGGCAATGGGCTTCTCCGACGCAGAGCGAGGTGTGCTGCGGCCTGCATGTCTTACTGATGCTGCACGTTACTTGAGGTGCAGCGCGACTGCATGGAGCGAGGATACATATAGAGGGTGGTCGCCCGACCTAGGAAGTCACGGCACACTCAATAGTTGACCTTGTAGTACATTGCAAAATCGGATCATGGTAGCAGCGTACGACTTCATTATCGTAGGAGGTAAACTCTATCTCACTTCGCACGTCTCAATTGATGTTAACACACATATTCCTAGGCGGAACATCAGGTTGCCTTCTTGCCCATCGGCTATCTCACTCCGCCCGCAAACCGTCTGTCCTCCTCCTTGAAGCTGGAAGCAGATCCTCTGGCGATTACCTCCACGCACCCTACCATCGGTACTATGCGCAAGCGCTCCGACCTGATCTAGACCACGGCTATGTCTCCGAGCCCGAACCCGCTCTGAACGGTAGAACAATACCGTACACGCGGGGGAAAGGCCTAGGTGGAAGTTCCATTTTGAATTTCGCCGTGTATCTGTACGGAAGTCGTGAGGACTACAATCGCTGGAGTGACCTGGTAGACGACGAGAGTTGGAAGTGGGAATCTGTCGAAAAGTCTTTCCAAGCCATCGAGAATTATGACTTTACCGGCTCAAAGGATTACAAGCATATCGCTGACCCGAGTACGAACGCTCATGGCACAAAAGGCCAGTTAAAGGTCGGTCTTCCGCCTGTGCTCGAGAAGGGCGTGGTGCCGCAGATGGAGGCGCTGGCTGCGGCTGGGGAGAAGATCGTTCTCGATGCTAATTCGGGAGATCCGGTGGGCATAATGGTCTTTCCACATAGCTATAGTAAAGACGGGAGAAGTACCAGTGCGATCGCGCATCTTATGGACCCGCCGAGCAACCTTGAGATATGGACAGATGCGAAAGCAGAGAAATTCGCATGGGAGGGGAAGAAGGTCACCGGAGTCGTTCTCGAAGATGGGCGGCAAGGTAGGTGCACTATCTCGATCGACGGGAGACGTAATGAGCACTGATAGGACCCCAGCGACGGCAAACAACGAAGTCATTATCTGCGGTGGCTCGATCGACTCACCTAAGCTCTTACTTCTCAATGGCGTCGGACCAAAATCCGATCTCGAAGCTCTCGGCATCGATGTCAAAGTCGACTTACCCGGCGTAGGCAAGCACCTGAAAGACCACGTCCTTACTTTCATGACGGTAGAAGTCTCAGGCACAATCAACGACAAATACGCCTTTGATAGCAATCCCGACCTCATCGCCGCAGCCCAAGAGTCCTGGACCAAAGACCAAACCGGTGCTTTCGCTCTGCAGCACTCGTCGCTCTGGGGCGGCTTCCTCAAACTGCCAGATTTACAATCGTATGAAGAATACTCTGCGCTTCCGCCAGATCTCCAAGAATTCCTATCCAGAGACCAAGTCCCCGCGTACGAGTTCCTCAACAACTCGATACTGTGGCCGCCGGGTACACAATTGGGGGCAGGAAACACCTACATGACTTTCATCGCTTTTCTCATGAACCCGCAATCCAGCGGCTCCATCAAACTGCGGTCCAAAAATGCATCTGACAAGCCAATCATCACGTTGAACTACCTCACGCACCCCTACGACGTCCGCATCTTCCGCGAAGCTATCCGCAGCACATGGACGAAGCTGACAGGTAACCCTACTATCGCGCCGCATATCGTGCGCACGGTTCTAGGCCCTGACTCCATGGAAGATGTGGATGTGGATCGGTTTGCGAGTGAGAATGCGGGTACCGTGTGGCATGCTTGCGGGACGTGCAAGATGGGCAAGGAAAGTGATGAAGAGGCAGTTGTGGACAAAAACTTCAGGGTTCGAGGAGTGGAGGGGCTGAGAGTTGTTGATATGAGTGTTGCGCCGGTCGTGACGAACAACCACTCGCAGGCTACGGCCTATTTGATTGCGCAAAAGGCAGCGGAGAAGATGGTCCAAGAGTATGGGCTGGACAGGGAGGGCTGAGAAGATCTTCTGGTAGACGTGGCAGAGCTGTCGGCAAAGAAAGTGCCAGTTGTCAATGTCTGTCAGAAGTGACCTTCCATCCTCGGTAGTGTTGAATGTCACAGCTCGTACCTGCTGTCGACTTACGGTGTAGTGATTGGCATGTGCGGAACGCAAGGCCCCATTTTGACAACGTAGCAGACGGCCCACACATCACACGCGCCCTGCAGGTACCGGATGATATTTATAGCCGGCCGGAACTCTCGAGTCTAGAATCTACTCCCAGAACGACAAGTTGATAGTTCTCCGGATGTTGCGGAAAGACGATAGAAATACCAAGAAGCTATTCGCAACTAAGGCAAACCACTGCACGACGTCGCAGGCTGCATGCGCAGAACCAGCAGAGTGCGCGAGGCAGAATGATTGAGGAACTACCGCCCAAGGCCAAGCATCTAGCTTGGGCCAACACGGGCATATCCTTCTGGGGGAAATTGCTATGACGAGTGGTGGTGGTGAACGTGCGCGGAGACGAGGAGGATGGCCAGGTGATGGCGCGACGGACGTTGCTGGGTGAACCGGAGGCGGAGCGAGCGCTGAGCATCACTGTGTACGACACCCCGTAGAATCATCGTGAGACAGCACACATCCTCACGAATAGCGAAGTCATTGACATCACGAAAACGACACGACTTCTGTGCCCACTACCGCGTCTAGCCAAGTTTCAAAAATCCCGCAAGCGCATAACCCCGGTGTTGTTGAAGTTGGAGTTGGAAGGTCCCCAACCACCCCAGCCTCTCCCGCGGCTTCCAACCACACGATTATTCTAAGTGTACCCTTTTTACTTGCGCACCTCCTCCTGCACGATTACACACATCCTACCACCTTCCTCTCACTTCCATACCCAAGATCAATCATCGCTGACTCTTTTCCGTGGTTCGCATCCTGTACCGCGCCGGCACCAGTCACGCACGCCAGCAGACACGAAAGACGCGCTAGCCAACGGATCGACCCCGCAGCAGCGATACCCACCCATTCACCGCTCCCACGCCGACTGGACGATATCTACGAATTGCAGCGCGCCTCTTCTGTCGTTTCCCCCCAATTCCTGCAAACGGTCCTGTCTATTCCGTTCGCAGCAAACCTCGCTGCTCTGCTGCGTTTGGAGAGGCTCAGTCGCTCGCTTTACCATGTGGCTTCTCAACGCTCCTCCCGCCGTGCTCGGCCTGATCGCCTTCGCCTACCTGCCCTCGGCTCTCGCAAAGCCCTACCCCGTCCACTTTGACGAGTTCGCCTCGCTGCACAACAGCTCCCAGCTGATCAAGAAGCAAGACTGCGCCAACCCCTGTGGTTTCGGCGGCTGGTTGTGCTGTCCTTCAGGCTCAAAATGCTACACCGACAGTGCCAACCAGGCGCAATGCGACACCAGCGGCGGTGGTGCCAACACTGAAGCAGCAGGCGGCTACTATGAATACTACACTACTACCTACGTCGAGACTGTCGGCCTTGTCACCAAGACCGAGACGCGTAGCACCTACATACCAGCGACAGCGACAGCCACATGCAGCGACTCGCAAAACCCCTGCGGCGGAATCTGCTGCGACTCTGGCATGTACTGTCTGAAGGCCGGCCAGTGTGCGATGATTGCTGGCGGCAGCTCTGGAGGTATCACACCCGGTGCCCCTCTTCGTCCAACTAGCTCAGGCGTCGTAGTCGTTACCTACACCGGCACCCCGACCGCGACCCAGCCCTTCCAAACACCCATTCCCACCGGCGCAGCAGGCGGCGGCCTTGTTGCAACCGAAGAGAGCAACGGCGGACTCAGTGGCGGTGCCATTGCCGGTATCGTTATCGGTGTTATCCTTGGTATATTGCTGCTGCTCCTTCTCTGCCTCTTCTGCTGCGCTCGCGCCCTCTTCGACACCCTCCTCGCCATCTTCGGCTTCGGCAAGAAGCGCAAGCACACCCACGAGGAGACCTACATCGAAGAGCACCACCACAGTGGCGGCGCTGCTGGCGGACGCACCTGGTACGGAGGCGGTCGCCCTGCCCGTCCTTCGCGCGCCGGCTCTGAGAAGCACAGCACCGGCAAGAAGGGTCTGGGTCTCGCTGCCGGACTAGGTGGTCTCGCGCTTGCGTTGGGTCTCAAGAGGAGACACGACAACAAGGTCGACGATAAGAGCACCACTGTCAGTGGAACATCATACATGTACAGCGACTACACAAGTTCAAGTAAGTAACCCAATCGCATTATGTTCAGAAAGATAAGATGCTAACAACCACCCAGGCAGCGCAAGTTCCTCAGATCGCCACACGCGCCGAACACGCCACTCATCGAGACGATAGTCGGATATCCACCGACCGATCTCTTTCCAAAACTGTACAAAGTCTTTTTTGCTTTCTAGTTCTTGTGTCTGGCCTCGTGCTGGTACCTTATGGCATGGGTGGTTTTATCCGTGGGTACATGGGCTTCGACAGAGTCAGCCCTACTGGCGTTATTTGGGCGTTTGAAGCGAGCTCGCTCACGACTGCGAAGCGACGAATGTGTTATGTCCTTTTTGGTTTTCGACTTTTTAACTTTTCCGACGTATGCGATTAATGAGGATATGCGTATGCGTGGATATGAGATGAGATATGGAATGGGGATGCTGGGGAAGCTGTATATGAATGCAATGGATATGGAAATGGAATTAGAGGAACTGTGAATATTATGTTTGGTTTCCAACATTCTTATTGAAGCAGTGATCGCGATATTGTCAGAATAAGCCGCCCGCGGCAGCGCCATGCAAAATGTGATATGAAAAACTGCGCCCTTTCTACATCGTCATCGTTGGACGGCCATGTGAAGGGCTGTAGTTCGGACTCATCAGCAATAACCACACGCCACCCCAGCAGCCTAACGAAATTGATTGTTAAGGGCATCCAGGATATCCCCTGAGCAACCTTGCACATCTGCACTCCGCTGCCCGACACGAGCTCGAAGCCCATGGGGCGCTGTAGTGACTTCCGTGTTTGCCAATCTTGAGATGTGAATCTGACACCGAAAATGTTGGTATGGGGGTCGTGACGGATGTAGACGATCAGATCAATATCCCTTTGCATGTTGTAGGGTACATTACCTACTCCTGAAGTGATCCAGAGATATTCCTGTGTACTTTGTCTGCACAAGAACATTGCTGCACGCAGGTGCGCCAGCGGGAAGGTTTGGTTCAACCGTACATGCTGGGGCCACTCTGTATTGCTATAATGGCTCCAGGTGCTTTCAAGGTACTTGCGGAAGTCGAATAGGCTGTTGATGTACACGTTGAAGTTACATCTCCATCGTGCGAAGAGGTGTTCGTCATCCACTTTAACAAGATGAAGTGCGGCCAGTGGATTAGTGGTGTCCCATCCCGGGAATTTCAAGGCGTAGTCTGTCTGTTGGCGTGGTGTAGTGGGTAAGCTGCTGATGATCTGTCGAGGTGTTGTGGGGACGTGTTCGACTGTCAAATCGACATCATGCATAACACCAGGAGAAAGCATCGACTGTGTTCCCGGAGAGCCGATCTCGGACATCGTCGCATAACTCACAGCAGATGGCGTTGCTACCCTTTGTTAGTATCAAGTATCTGACGATGCGCCCAAGAATCTACTTACTGGCGTCAGGGCTGGGAGCGTACAGCATGCTATCCATGACATTGTGCCTCTTCATCCATCTCTCAATCTTATGAGGGTCGACTCCCTGGCCTCTCACGCTGAACTTGAGATCGTTCTTGTCTGTCTCGACGAGGTTTCGCTGTTGATGGTGTCTGACGATTGCTTTCATCTCGTCCGGTTTGATGTTCTTGTCGAGCTTCCATTGACTCAGACGAGACCTATATTGGCGTATCCTGAGAATACAGTCAGCCTAGACACCATTGAGTACAGGCTACTCAACATACTCAGCGTTGAAACCGAATTCTTGTTCTATCAGAATTCTGACTTCCGACAGAGGTCGCTTTTCGGTGAGGTGTAGCTGTATGATTCTGTCTTTGTACGGCTCCCAGTCAGTCTCGCGCAGAGTTCGCGCTTTCTTCTTTCGCGGACGTGCATCTGCGATGGGGTTCGGAGGAGGAGGCTGTGACAACGGGGCTTCCTCCTCAGAAATTGGCATCAGGTGCCAGTCGAGATCCATAGTAGTATAGACTTTCGAAAAGCAAAGAAGGGGATGCGTATTGCCCAGAGGCAATGATCGAGTAGAAAGTATCGACTAGAAAGGTCCTTGATTATTCCGCGAATGTAAAGAGAAGAGAGGAAGTGTCGCCATACTCATGAGTAGACGGTGGGTTCAGGCGGTGGTTTATATGTGAGCCAGGCCGTGACACCAGGCTGAGCTGCAGTTGAATGCCATTGGTTGCGACAAAAGTACAATTGTTGCGAGCCACCCTGGTTGCCTGCATGCGCATAGAAAACGCCTCTCTGCATGGCCGGTGGAACACTGAGCCAATCAAGTGGACGTCAGCAAAAGTACAATTCTGTATCCTCGGCGCCTGAGCTATGGCACATACAAAAGTACAAAACAGCCAGGTGTTCCGAGACTGACATGCTGTTAGGTCCTGACCGCTGCGGATTCGCCGGAAATCCGAGAACTGCGCACTCAAAAGTACAATGTCAAAGTATACATAAGATAGGAGGAGCCCTCAAACGCTCCCATCGGCAGATACTCGCTGACTCCATTATTCTTGAGGAGGTTTTCTAGTAACCTTACACGCTCATGTCTTTGAACAACCAGTCTGCGGATACCATCGCAGCCATCGTGTTTGGTCTGCTCCAACTTGCCGTTGGCCTGGTGTCTCTTTGGCAACAACGGCGTTTACGACAAGCATACCGTGAGTATTATGATAAGCTTGTTCGGGAGTGCATAGACTGATGAGAAAGTAGAGCAAGGAAGCGATCGAAGAAGATATACCATTTAGAATGCGACAGATGCCAGTGCGTAGGTATCGTTGCGCCTTCCTTGAGTAGTGTGGCGGAGCTGACCGACGCAAGGCTCGGAGACATCAAATCAGAAGTGAACCTTTGGTGAACATCATGATTTGATGTTGGGGATGTGAGGTGCGTTTCACGGATAGTCGGAATCAACAGGGAGATCATACCTTGTGAATGGAAGTAAGCAGTCGCGTGGAAATCTAAAGTAGGCCAAGCGTTGAGGGGGTGAAATCTGCCTTCAGCAGACCATAGAAATTAATCGCCCAAGAGTCTGCATCGCCCTCAGCAGTCTGTGGACTTTCGTTTTCACACTAATGTAGACTGCAAGGTGGTTGTCCTGGTATGGGGTGAAGGAGTGGATTCGAGGCCCATGCGGAAGTGACGATTGCGCCAAGATTTAAGTGGGATGGCGCTAGGTGGAGCTCCAGCACCTTCGCCGTGACAAGTACTCACGTAATAACCTCCTCCCTGCTGCGCCTTCCACCCTTGCCTTCCTTCCATTTACACCTCCACACTCAACCCACTCTAGCGACAAACCTGTTGATCTCGTTTGTCCTTCTTCACATCCGTAAACAGCAGTCTACACCTGGGTACCCCGCGACACTCGAGCCAGGCGCCCGCGACCGCCACATTTGACAGCGTCCAGCCTTCACGACCGTCGGCAAACTGGGGAAGCGGAAACACGTCGACAAGGACGCTCGTCCCAGCAAGAAAGAGAAAGCCATGGCGGTAAGTCCGCCCCATTGATTACTAACTTGCGCTTTGTTCTGTTGCGCGTCCGCATTTGCAACCATGTACTCGGCGTCTCCAGCGTCTCCGCCACTCTACACCTTTCACCAACTTCACACTTCTGCGTCCGCAATCTAACGTATCCAAGGAAAACATGCAGGTCGACAGCCCTGCCACTGCCGTTGAACAGCTCAAGGAAGCGTCCGGTAACAACGGCGACATCGATGAGTCCCTCTACAGCAGGCAGCTGTATGTCCTGGGCCATGAGGCCATGAAGCGCATGGGCTCTTCCAACGTCCTCGTTGCTGGTCTGCGGGGTCTCGGTGTCGAGATTGCGAAGAACATCGCCCTAGCTGGTGTCAAGTCGCTGACACTCTACGATCCCAAGCCCGCCGCTCTCGCCGACCTCTCGTCGCAGTTCTTCCTCACGCCCGCCGATGTGGGAAAGCCACGCGCCTCCGTCACCGTACCGCGCGTCTCCGAACTCAACCCATACACACCTGTGCAGGAATTCAGCGGAGGAGATCTGACGTCGGACTTGTCGCAGTTGAAGCAGTTCCAGGTCATTGTCCTTACCGACACTCGGCTCGAAGATCAAATCAAGATCGCAGACTACTGCCACGACAACGGCATCTACGTCGTCATCACCGACACATACGGACTGTTCGGTACTATCTTCACCGATTTCGGCAAGAACTTCACCATCGGTGATCCGACGGGCGAGAATGTCAACAACGGCATCATTGCCGGGATTGATGAGGAGGGTATTGTCTCGGCACTAGACGAGACAAGACACGGCCTGGAGGATGGCGATTGGGTCACATTCTCAGAAGTTGAGGGTATGGAGGGCCTCAACGGCTGTGCGCCTCGCAAGATTGAGGTCAAGGGGCCTTACACCTTCTCCATTGGCGATGTATCTGGCCTCGGAGAGTACAAGAAGGGAGGACAGTTCATCCAGGTCAAGATGCCCAAGATCATCGACTTTGAGCCCTTCAGCAAGCAGCTCAAGAAGCCCGAGCTTCTCATCTCCGACTTCGCCAAGTTCGACCGACCGCAACAGCTCCATGTTGGTATCCAGGCCATCCACAAGTTTGCGAATCTCCACAAGGGCGAGTTCCCACGTCCTCACCACGAAGCCGATGCGGATGAGCTCTTCAAGATTGCACAAGAAATCGCAAATGAGGGCGAGGAGAAGGTCGAGCTGGATGAGAAGCTCATCAAGGAGCTCAGTTACCAGGCTCGTGGTGACCTCAGTCCCGTCGCTGCCTTCTTTGGTGGCATGGCTGCTCAGGAAGTCTTGAAGTCAGTGTCTGGAAAGTTCCATCCCATCGTTCAGTTCCTCTACTTCGATTCGCTAGAGTCGATCCCTACCTCCACAACCCGTTCGGAAGAGCAGTGTGCTCCGATTGGCTCGCGCTACGACGGTCAAATCGCTGTATTGGGACAGGAATACCAGAAGAAGCTCAGCAACGTCAAGCAGTTCCTCGTTGGTGCGGGTGCCATCGGCTGCGAGATGTTGAAGAACTGGGCGATGATGGGTCTTGGCACTGGCCCTGATGGCAAGATCACTGTCACTGACAACGACCAAATCGAGAAGAGCAACTTGAACCGACAATTTTTGTTCAGACCAGCGGATGTTGGCAAACTAAAGAGCGATGCTGCCGCAAAGGCAGTCCAGGTTATGAACCCTGACCTCAGCGGAAAGATCGTGACACTACAGGACAAGGTCGGCCCGGAGACAGAGCACATCTTCAACGAAGAGTTCTGGAATTCCCTGGACGGTGTAACGAATGCACTGGACAACGTAGAGGCGCGTACATACGTCGACCGACGATGCGTATTCTTCCGCAAGCCTCTGCTCGACAGCGGTACTCTCGGTACCAAGGGCAACACCCAGGTTGTTCTGCCGTTCATCACAGAGTCTTACTCTTCATCTCAAGATCCACCCGAGAAGTCGTTCCCTATGTGCACACTAAGGAGTTTCCCCAACCGAATTGAGCACACGATTGCCTGGGCGCGGGAGTCGTTCGATTCGCTGTTTGTCAAGGGTCCGGAGATTGTCAACCTTTACCTGACACAACCGGACTACCTTGGCGCATCGCTGAAGCAGTCTGGTAACGAGAAGCAGACTCTGGAGACCCTGCGGGAATTCTTGGTCACGGAGAAGCCGTTGTCGTTTGACGACTGCATCATCTGGGCCCGTCATCAGTTCGAGAAGAACTACAACCACGCGATTGCGCAATTGCTTTACAACTTTCCCAAGGACTCCAAGACAGGCTCCGGTCAGCCATTCTGGTCGGGACCCAAGCGCGCGCCGGACCCATCGAAGTTTGACTCTTCAAACCCAACTCACTTCACCTACGTGGAAGCTGCTGCCACCCTACACGCATTCAACTACGGCATCAAGCCAAATGCGTCCAAGGAGCACTACGTCGAAGTTCTCAACGATATGATCGTTCCCGACTTCCAGCCCGACCCTACAGTGAAGATCCAGGCCGACGAAAAGGAGCCAGATCCGAATGCCAACCAGGCTGGTGGAGACGACAATGAGTCGCTCGACAGCATCATCAGCCAATTGCCGGCACCCAAGTCTCTTGCCGGGTTCAAGCTTGAGCCCGTCGAGTTTGAGAAGGATGATGACTCCAACCACCACATCGACTTCATCACTGCTGCCAGCAACCTTCGTGCCGAGAACTACAAGATCGAGCAGGCTGACCGACACAAGACCAAGTTTATTGCTGGTAAGATCATCCCGGCCATCGCCACCACGACGGCTTTGGTCACCGGTCTCGTCAACCTTGAGCTGTACAAGATCATCGACGGCAAGACGGACATTGAGCAATACAAGAACGGCTTCATCAACTTAGCCTTGCCATTCTTTGGATTCAGTGAGCCGATTGCTAGCCCGAAGGGTACATATCAAGGGCACGATGGCGAAGTTACGATCGATAAGCTATGGGACCGTTTCGAGGTGGATGATATCCCCTTGAAGGACTTCGTGGCGCATTTCGAGAAGAAGGGTCTGTCAATTCAGATGATAAGCTCTGGCGTCAGTTTGCTTTACGCATCATTCTATCCTCCATCCAAGTTGAAGGACAGGATGCCGCTTACGTAAGTTTCACTGATTCCCCGTCGTATACACCGCGTTACTAACAAAAGGCAGTATGAGCAAGCTTGTGGAGCACGTGAGCAGGAAGCCGGTACCGGAGCACCAGAAGAACGTTATCTTCGAGATAACAGCTGAAGATCAGAAGGAGGAGGACGTTGAGATCCCGTACGTCATGGTCAAGTTGAAGTAGTCATTCAGCACTTCGGTTGAAGATAGCGACGGACTGGATAGTGGATCGGTTCCCGACAGGGATGATTTTCACATGAATTAGACGAGCATAGCTTGCATGAATAGACACTTCACAACATCCACTGCCTCCTACAGTATCTCAAAAGGGTCAAACACGAAGATACATACACGTGGTTGGAGAATACATACAAAGGTTTCTGGGCTGTCTACGAGGCAGAATCTCCGTTACGACCTTCGCGCTGTTCTGTTGTCCTTCTTTCTGAAACATGTGAGGATAATGTCGGCGTCAACGCGGTACGAGATCTAGAACCCAGAGCTCAGATGTAAACCATCGAGAAAGCTACATTACCCTACGATCTAGCTGCAGTTCGATTCCTACACTGATGTAGTCTGCAGCGCATCTGCTGAGATCCATCCTTGTGTAAGGCGATCTTGCTAGTCATGGATGCCGACCTCGGGAGACCGTGGGGCGAAATGCCAAGCATTACTGGTACTGCCCTGTCACGGATGTTGATTATCAAGCCTCTAGGGCTTTCCTCCAGCACGCAACCATGTAGCACTTACGTCCACACCTACAGTAACAATCACATACACCATGGCGCCATCACTAGAAGAGCCTGTACAGGTCGATTTCGAAGCACCACTCAAGGCTGCGCCCAAGCTCGTTGCGCCCGAGCCAGGTACATTTGCCCCGCCACCCCTCCGGCATTACACTGCGACTCTGTGAGAACAGACTGCTAACACTATCGCGACAGAACACTGCCCCGGTCCCGAATCTCTCACAGCCGGTCAAGCGGATTCCTGCGCAGGATGTCCCAACCAGGCAATATGCGCCTCTGCGCCGAAGGGCCCCGATCCCGACATACCCATCATCACTGCGCGCCTCTCCTCCGTAAAGCACAAGATACTCGTACTTTCCGGTAAAGGCGGCGTCGGAAAGTCGACTTTCAGCACAATGCTTTCACATGGCTTTGCGTCGAATCCGTCATCGACTGTCGGACTCATGGATACAGACATCTGCGGGCCCAGCATACCGAAGATGATGGGCGTGGAAGAAGAGACAATACACGTTAGTGGAGAAGGATGGGAACCGGTGTGGGTCAGCGAGAACCTAGGAGTCATGAGCGTCCAGTTCATGTTGCCGAACCGCGACGACGCAGTAATCTGGCGCGGCGCAAAGAAGAACGGGTTGATCAAGAAATTCCTCATGGACGTAACATGGGGCGAACTGGACTTCCTCGTCGTCGACACACCACCGGGTACATCCGACGAGCATCTCTCCGTCAACTCCTTCCTCAAAGCCAGCGGCGTCGACGGCGCAGTCCTCGTTTCCACACCCCAAGAAGTCTCGCTTCTCGATGTTCGGAAGGAGATCGACTTTTGCCGGAAAGCGGGAATACCTATACTGGGCATCGTGGAGAACATGAGCGGGTTCGTATGCCCGGGTTGCAAGCACGAATCTCAGATCTTCAGAGCGAGTACGGGCGGTGCAGCGAGGTTAGCAAAGGATCAGAATATACCATTTTTGGGCAAGGTGCCGCTGGACCCAAGGATAGGCATGGCTTGCGACTTTGGAGAGAGCTTCCTGACGGCCTACCCGGATAGTCCGGCGTGCGCTGCTATCAAGGAGGTTGTTAGGAGAGTCGGAGAGGAGATTGGATTGGGCAGAGAAGAAGTATTGCCTGTGGATGAGGAAGAAGCGTGACCTCAAAGAGCACAGTCAGTATACAGCAATATGACCTTCGACGAAACGAATTCAGACAGCACAAACAACTTCACGTATGAGCATAATCGTTTTTGCAGGAACATGTTCCTACTGGACCCATCGTACGGCATTCGCAATTCGGCCCGCGTCAATAGTGTGAGGACTTACGAAGGCGGTTGACGCAAGCAGCGCAGATCACCAAGTTCGTCTTGACACACTGGAACATGGAGATCAGAGAGAGCGAGCGCGATGAACATAACGATAACAAGCATCTACTCAGGTAATCTCTTCCAATGATTGTTTGCACGCCCTCCCACAAATACAACGCACTGAACGCACTGCTGAGTTGAACTAATTGCTCGGTGTCATAATCACTGCAAGCCAATGTCACGACGCATGCGAAGCCACTTCGCTTCTCTTGGAGTCGTCATTCACTGCCACAATGGCGCCGCCCCGTTGGATCTTCGTGTGGCAGATTGTCCAGTGGAAATTATGAGTGGACTGGCAGCCACACCACAGCCATTGATCAGCGTCATCGTATCACGCTACACGATGCTTGGCACGCGTAGCAGGTGCTTGGCGCATGTTTCGAAAGCTTGGTTGGGTGGCCTGTGGCTTGGACAAAGATAATGAGCTCATAGATGTTGCGCGAGTCGATGCAAGATTTGCGAATACGTGCTGAGAAAGAGAAGAAAAATGACTGGGCTGGCCAGGAGACGGCGTGCAAGACCATGCAGAAGATCGAGATAGGTCCCGTGTCTGCGCGGTCCACAGTGCAGCGCGGAAGGCTCGAGGATGTCATGGCCCACACGGCTAGCGGCATCCATCCCTGCCGCCTCGGTGCCATCAATCACAGGCACAACAACTTTCCTGACTTTGAGGCTAGAGGCGCTTTCATTTTGGCCCCAGCCTTTCCTGAATTCTTACTCTCCCCCGCCTCTATCGTTTCCGCAGTACACGCGCTTCACAAGGGCGTGCAATTGTTTCCGTCGCGACAGGAACGCGAAATTACTAGCAGCGCGCATCGCATCTGCGCCTGAAGCCAACTCTTGGACCCTGAGCGCATTGCCATTGTATGTCCTTGCTCTGGGTAGATTGAGTCACTAAACTGACTGGAGCGCAGGATCGTAGACATCTTAGACGCGTCTGCGCATATACTCCCCCAATTCTCTCGCTATCGAACATTGCTCGCGACCGACGACCACCATGGCCGCTGAATACCAACAACATGAGGACCCCAGTGGCGTGACAGGCATTGGCGCCGGTCCTCAAGTCATCAGCACCTCGGGTGCAGTGGATGTCATCATGGGACCGCTCCTCAACTACAGACGTACAAGCAACCAGCAGGCCGGGCAGCCTGTCTGGCACGGCAGTGTCCTCATCGTCGCCACGCCCGGACAACAGAACCCGAACGAGGCACAGCCAAACCCCCAGCTCACACTCTTCCCGGCTGGCGCAGTCGACAAGAATATGGGTGACGTGAGGTTCAGCGTGGAAGCGCGCGACTTTCACGGAGAGAAGCTATACGAGGATAGCAAGAGGGCCTTCTGGCGCTTCAGGATCGATGCTCCCATGCAGCCATTCGAATCAAGATGGCGTTACGAGATCCAGAACCTCAGATACACCGACACCATGAAGGAGGAGAAGCCCCAGAACTTCGTCATACCCTCAATCACCCAGTCGATGCGCATCATGTTCCATTCTTGCAACGGTTTCAGTGTTGGCACCGACATGGACGTCTGGTCCGGACCTGTGCTGTGGAACGATGTCCTCCGAATGCACGAGCAGCGACCCTTCCACGTCATGCTTGGAGGAGGCGACCAAATCTACAACGACGGAGTGCGAGTCGACGGACCGCTCAAGCCCTGGACCGACATACACAGTCCTCATAAGCGACGGGAGTTCCCCTTCGGCCAGCAGATGCGTGCCGATTGCGACGAGTACTACTACAACAACTACGTCAAGTGGTATGGTCACAAGCCCTTCTCCACTGCCAACAGCCAGATCCCCCAGGTCAACATCTGGGACGACCACGACATCATCGATGGCTTTGGCTCTTACACCGACCATTTCATGAACTGCGCTGTCTTCAGAGGCATCGGTGGCGTTGCGCACAAGTACTACCTCCTCTTCCAGCACCACCTTGCTCCTCCAAAGAGTACATATACCACCGACGCGCCCCAGACGACCAATGTAACAGGCCAGGGAGAAGGCACAACCCCCGCAGATCCGGTACAGGTGGACAGCACCTTCGTTATGACCAACGATGAGGGCGACCCATCGTACCTTATCGGCTCGAAGCCTGGCCCGTATGTCGAGGAACGCAGTCGCAGCATTTACTGCCAGCTCGGTGCGCGCATTGCCTTTGCTGGTATCGATGCGCGAACAGAGCGGACGAGGCATCAGGTCAACTACCCCGAGACCTACAAGATGCTTTTCGATCGCTTGGACGCCGAATTCACCGCGAACCCAGAGCTCAAGCACATGATCTTGCTGCTCGGTGTACCCATTGCTTACCCTCGCTTGATCTGGCTCGAGAACATTCTGCAGTCTCCGTTGATCGCACCCATCAAGTTCCTGAACAAGCGCTTTGGCTTCGCTGGAGGCTTCTTCAACCAGTTCGATGGCAAGGTCGATTTGCTCGATGACTTGGACGACCACTACACCGCGCGTCAGCACAAGGAGGAGCGTCGCAACCTCATGCACAGTCTGCAGGCATTCTCCAAGAAGTTCTCTGCTCGTGTCACCATTCTTGGTGGAGATGTGCATCTTGGAGCCATTGGTCGTTTCTACACCAACCCCAAGACACACCAGATTCCCGCAGAAGCTGACCACCGCTACATGCCCAACATCATTAGCTCCGCTATCACCAACAAGCCCCCACCACAAGCTGTCGCGAACTTGCTGGCCCGCCGAAATAAGATCCATCACCTCGACAAGGAGACCGACGAGACGCTCCTCGAGATCTTCGACCGCGACCCAGCTCTCCCCGGAGGCGTCAACGCGACAAACGGCAGCTCCACCGCCCAGATCGAGGGCGACGGCAAAGACGGAAAGATCGAGCCCAAGACCTCCGCCGCAAACCACGCAACGATGCCCTCGCGCAACTACGCCATCATCTGCGAATCCGCGATCCCCACCCCCTCAACCCTCGGCGTACCTCCCGGCTCAGCGCCCTCCATCAACACGAACAACACCGCCGCGTCCAAGATCTCCGCTGCTCCCGGCAAGAAAGACAACATGCGTCTGGGTTTCCATCTCGGAGAGGAGAAGGCTGGTACTCAGCACCCGGCTGCTGGCGGTATCAACCCTTCGGGTCTTTGCGGACCGTATGGTCTGGATGTCACACTTAGGGTGGAGATTAGCAACCAAGATCGCGAGGGCAGGACTGATGGCTACGGCTTCAGTATTCCCGCGTTGGATTGCTCGGCTTATGCTGATCGTGGCGAGAAGTGGTAGACTATATCAATGAGGTGGATGCTTGGGACGTTGGATAGAGAAGGTCTCAAGCGGTAGATGAGGGAAGGTTGTCGTGGTGGAAAATACTGGATGATTTCATTTTGCTTTCTTGTTTTGGTTTATACCCTCGAAAGTTGCTTGGCATAGAGCAATCATGTGTAGTAGTTAATTAGTCGCTAGTCTGTAATGTTATCCCATTATTGGGTTGGTACAACAAAAGTCCTCTTGTCTATGGAGACGTCCTATGATGGCGATGGCATCGGTTTCTGCACTTACAGCCCCACTCGAGCATGTCGGAGTTTCGCGAATCGAATGGTATCTATTGCGCTCGCAAAAAAAGTTTGGTTCGTAAACACTGCTGTTTATGTACATGATATATGAAGGATTGAACTTTTGAAGAATGTCAGAAACAAATGGAAGGAAAGCAGTGGCATACAGTCGTAACGGGAGAAAGCAAAGCAAGGAAAGTTGTCGTCACCAAGAAAACGAGTGTTGAAGACCACGTGGCTCCTCTGTGGAGGGCTTGCGGAGCGAAGCAAAAAGTGCCAAAAGTTGAGCAGCTTCCATCCCGCCTGTCTCTTGCCAGAATGTGGACGATGAAGCTTGCTGCATAGCAAGCTCGTAGCAAGTATCGAGGAGAGCATTCGTGTTCTCCGGCGAATCCTTAATTCTCACCTTCATCGCAACGGCCATGGCAAGGAAGACATGGAAGCGCGCCATCGACATGGATGCGGAGATTTCAACTGCAGGTCGCTGAGTGTTTGGGTAGACAGATTCGCAGAACCGAGAAAAGAGACCAGGAGAGATGGAGTAAGCTTGGTAGTCCAAGGACTCGATGTGTTGTACGAATTCAGTGGTCAGAGTCTCCGCTTCGAAGCGACTAGGAATTGGCGTAGTAACAATTGCGCGACTGCGATCGGTGAAGCTTGATCGTGACGAAGCTGGGCCAGGACTTTCAGTATGGCGGGCTGCGAATATGCCTTGGCGAGGCAATCGCGGTGCTGGCGCCAACGGAAGAATGTCATCTTCAACTTCCGGGATCGGCGACATGGCTTGCTCATTGCTAGCCTGAGACTGGGACGAGGTCGAAGTCTTGCGAGAGTGGGCCCGACTGCTGGTAGTACCCGGTTGTAACTGACTGCTACTTGCTTGAGCCATAAACTCCCAAGAAGGCGCGGTATGCGGTTCGATCGACGACGGCATGGGTTTACTCATCGATGGGTATGTCGTACCGAACTGCGGCAGCGCGGACCCGGGTGGCATGGAATCGGGTGACGAGGCACGCGTGGTACCTAACCATAATGAAGGTACTGGTGAAGACGGCGTGGAGAAGTTGGGGAAAGGCTCACATTCATCTATAGCGATAGAGGGCATGCTGCCACTCCTAGCCGAGAAGGAGCCGAGATCCAGGTCATCGGCTGTGAAGGTTGCCGGTATGGTGGTATCGAGGTTGAGGTGGGGCGAGGGACCTTGCCAGTCGAACGATGTGGGTGTGCTAGCCATAAGGTTCTGGTCGATAGATTCCATACCATGCATGGGCGCATTGACATGTCTGGCTAGCTGTGCCTCGAGCTGATGTATTCGTCCCTCTAGCGCTTCGCGATGTTCACTTCAACTTGATCAGAACACGACATCATGTGACCACGCGACGACGCGTCTTCACGGGTGCGGGCACTCACGAAGCAACAACTTCTTTTGGTTTTTGTGTTCTCACGCATTGTATTGCAAAACGTTTACACGTCGAGCAAGGCGTCTCGCCGTCGCATCGAATCTTCCTGCGTCGGCATCGCTCGCAGGCGTTGGAGACGGACTTTCGCCTAGGCTGCCAGTCTTTGACAGCGCTTGGAGAGAAGCGAGCTGGACCTTCGCCAGCGGGCAATGAAGCTTTTGTCATTAGCGATATCACGGAGCGATATAGGTGCCAAGCTTACTGAAGGGGCACATGCTGGAGGGGAATGTTGAGGATTCCGCGTCGGATACTGAGGCTTCCGAAGATTTGGGTGCAGATGGGGACAATAAGCAGCTGACGATCGCAAGACGGAGGCGTGGGAAAGAAAGCCATGGCGGAGGACGAGATCTCAGTTTGTTTTACGTCCCGTTGCCTGTCGCGGTGACAGACTGAACGCGGTTGAGTAATCGGGTAGACCTGCCCTGATGTTCTGCCGACACACTTTCCTGACACTCTGGCCCTCACCATGACTTGCAACACGCCCGCAAGGCTCCCTGCACGTCTCGACTCCTCATAGGTGCGGACGTGCGACGGGACATGGTTATGCATGTCGCATCGACTTTCCCTCCGCTCTCGACCTTCTAGAAGAGCGTCTACCAGGTGACAGGGCTAAAGGACGGGCACGCGGCCGCACTCCGCGTTTGCAGCATAAGTGTCGCACAGCCCCCCAGAAGTTCCCACCGGTAAATCCTTCGGACACGTAAAAGAGCGGAATCCGCGGTCCATTTTCCGCTATCTTGTCACATCGCATTGTGAAGCACGGAGAATTATAGAATCTTGTCGACAGCTTCTCCTCAGAGCCATGATGGACCCTCTTGACCACAAAGTCCGGTTGTCAAAATCATCCGCGGCTGCCCAAGCAGCTGACAACTGCCGAGAACTCGAAACAACGTTTTTCTTTCGTCGCATCAAGTCCTTGGCACACGGGAAGGTCACCATCAGATGAGTCGAGGAGCGTCGTCGTAGGCGCCATGCGGCATAGGTGACGCGTACACAGTCAGCGCCTGGAACGTCGCATCAAGGTCACTCCCATTGATGCTATCGCATTCGCATTGCACTATCTACAGGATCGACGAGCAGAGCTACAGCCCGATTATACGCGACACAATGGACCGTCCGTCGATTGGACACCGGCGCCGATAATACCATTATCATCGATGGTCCAGCCCTCAGTACCAACCCCGTGGTGCACGTAGAAGAGCATGTCAGGGTCATATTTCTTCTTGATCTGCTGGAGCCTCGGGTAATTTGAGCCCCAGAAAGATTGCTGCCAGTTGGGCTCGGCGATGTCGGCCTCATTTCCATACGCGCCGCCAGTGGGCGACACTTCACGAAGAGGAGCCATGACCTGAGTGGTGATCTTTTCGACGGCCGCCTGCCATCCCGCGGCGGTTTCCTCAGCGACCGAGTTGATGATGACCATCTGGCTCTCTTCGTTTCGGAACGCAGGATTGACGGAGTTGATGTCCTTGTTGTCCTGTTCGACGGGGCGCTGATGGTACATATTGATCATGACGGCAGTCTCGACGACGTGCTGGATGGCGACGATCGTTTGGTTGCGTATCTCAGCGTTCTCCCAATTGTCGGAGGTCAACAAACGGTTCGACGCAATACCGGTAGCGGCACCAATATGATAGTTGAATGTACCGAATGTGGCCTTGTAGGCAGGGTAGAAGCTGTCGTGGTAGGTTGTCTTGGGATTGAGCTCAATACCAAGTGAGGCGCACTTTTCGTAAAAGGGCTTGATGAGAGCCTCGTACTCCTCGACAGTCTTGTCCGTGGCAAAGAAAGGACCCATCGACCACATATACGTGCCTGGTGCGAGCTTCATGAGCGAGAAGTAAGAGTATGTTTTCGCGCGGTTGTAGGCGGGCATGTTGTCGAAGAAGAACCTAAACGCCTCCCAGAACTTCTCGGCAGTAACAGTCTCGGATGTCATGATGGTCCAGGAGGACTGAGTGACTGGAACCTTGCGGTGGACCTTCACTACAGCGGAGGTGATCACGCCGTAGGTACCGCCACCGCCGCCAAGCATAGCCCAATACAGATCACCGTTGATCTCCGGAGTAACGGTAACGAAGCGGCCGCTGGCAAGGACAACTTCGAGAGCGACGATCTGATCTGAGCCGACACCAAACAACTGCATCAGGGGACTATGGCCACCGCCCGTGGAGTAGCCACCAAATACACCGACGGTCGGACAGATACCGGCGATGGCGGAGACACCATACTTATCGGCAGCCTCATAGAGCTCGAAGCCTTGAACGCCCGCGCCGACTTTGAAGACTGGTCCGTTGTACGTGGAGCTTTTGTAGTCTTTGACATACTTGATCTCCTTGAGGCCATGAGTCCAGATGCTGAGCGCCCCCTTGCCAACCGAGCGACCGTTGTAATCGTGTCCAGTGTTGCGCACAACCAAGCGAAGGTTCAGGGTACGAGCAAAGTTGACAGCCAGCTGAATCTGCGCAACGCTGCTAACTTTCACTGCGTATTCTGAGTATCCTCCCTGGGTGCAAGTGCCATTGGCGAAATTGCCTGTAGTAGGAATGGGGCATGTCATTCCATACCACAGGGGATTCATCAGCGCACCATTGTCGTTGTAGCTACTCCTGTCAGTCTAAGTGCCATTGTGTTCACAAGTATTATCACTTACTAAATCTCCTCCGCATCGAAATTCTCGACGAGGTCTGCGCACTTTGCGGCGTCGTAGTTGTTGTACTCGGACGTCTTGTAGCAGGAAGAGCCTATAGGTACGATCTTCTCTAAAGCACCACCGAGTAGGAGATCGAACAACTCCCACAAAAGCTTTCCTGGATACAGAAGATCGCCAGGCATGGTCTTGCATCGGAGTGATCGTCGCGTACGGCGAGTACGCGCAGACAAGCTGGAATTGGAGCTGTCCTCAAACTCGAAGAGGGAAGCATACTCAGCAAGCTCTGGGCTCTGTTGCATCGAGGAGACAACATCGTCAGTCAGCTGTACGGCTTCGACTCCAAAAAGAGCGAGGTTGGCAGGCGTGACATAGGTAGCGAGAGTCTCAGCAGCAGGTGGGACGGAGAATGCGAGTGTGGCGCTCTGTGCCGCCGTGAAACTGGCATAAGCCAAGGAGAACGTTATGGACCTCGCCAACATGTTGGAAGACGAACCTTGCAGTTGAAACGGAAGTAGTGGCGGCTGGTTGAAGAGTCCTTGGCTGCCACGTTCCTGTACCGAGCGCAAGGTTTTATACGAATTTCCTCATAACGCACAGGTGGCGGCGCATCAGTAATCTTGGTCGAGCCCATCTGCCGCTCACTCGGAGACTGTCTTCCCACTTGAGCATCGGCATGAAAAAGTGGGGTGAGATACGGCGAGGCCATCTCGTCTAGAGTCTAAAGTTGGTATGGGATTTCATCCTGTGCACCCGCCCAGAGAAATCGAAGACGCGAAGGATGGTAATTCCAATCTCGCGCCCACGCCTCATCTGTACAGCTCATGCGCTTTTTATTAAGGAGCGAAGAGGGTCTAGACTTCCACGACCAGGAACATGTCACGTTGGCTGAGTCGCGGTTAGTTGTTCCGCGGCGATCACACCATTGAGCGATGGACATTCGAACAGGCTTCACCAGCCGGTACATTGAGGTACGGACCGCTAAGGAGGCGTCCCGCGCATCCGCCTCTGCTTTGGAGCGGATGCACCGTGCGTAGGTTCCTGGAGAAGATTCCGGATCAGGCAGCTAGTGGGGCACCTGCCGAGCATCGTACTACCTAGGTAGACAGGGCTCTGCATGTGTAGAGCGAATCCTATAGCTGTGCCTCAACACCTTGAACGGGACCCTTATCAATTTGAATGGCTTCTACTAGGCCCCGAGTCTCTATGAACTGTGAAGATGTTCACATACTGCGCTACACATTTGTCTCTACCTAAGGATGAATGGCTAGATGTATGTGGTGGAGGCGTTGCCGATAGAGATCTTTGCAGGCTGTCCTAGGGATTATTGGAGGATTTTGCCATCCCGTGAGGAGGATCAATTGGAGCCACAATATGCAAGGGTCTTCAAAGCCGAGTCTCGAGGTACTCACATTCTCGGAGGCTGTGTCCCAGTCGCATAGCTCTGCGACTGCGCAAAGTATGTTCCATCAGGACTAGCCGCCTTGCATGTGCTTCCACGTCGGTTCCATCGCCTTGGGGTGTCCTTTTCGGACGAACGACGGGTTTGTCACTTTACACTTGCCATATGATTGGTTCGCAAGGGTCGGGACGTTGCGCTCAGCCCAGGAGATGAAATCTTCGCTTCCATGTGCGAGACTCGTTTACTCAGATAGTGTTCAGGTTTGCAGCGTTACCAGTATCTTGGGAAAGGAACGCAAAATCCTCGGCATGCTGTTGAGCGGGCTGAATCCTATTCGAACATGGTCTCGACGTTGAACGCTGTCAAGTCCGCGGGTCATATAAAGACTTCACGAGTATCACTTTTCGTGTGACTTCGACCGAGTTGTTTTCGAATTGAACGCCAATCTGAATTCCCATCATGGCAGTACCCGCTTTTCCTGCACCAGACATGTCTGGTGTTGATCCAGGACTTCAACCTACGCTCATCGCATTATTATACCTCTTCCCAGGACTTGCTCTTGCGGTGCTTATGGTTCGATTTTGGAGGAAGTGGCAAGACCATATCCTTGGCGGAGGTATGAGTACTGGCTACAGTGGTTGGTCTATGCTGATATCTTTGCAGACGACGTTCTGATCGCTATCGCGTGGGCTCTAGCACTGTCCAATAGCGTGATTACCCACAAATGTAAGACTCTTGTCCACATGGCGACCTTGGAGTGTTCGAATGCCTGACGCTTATGGAGTTTGTGTCGCGATGTACACTGGATACCACGATGAAGATGTTCCGTACCCCGCAATCGACTTCCTTAATGCATTCAAGGTACGTTTGTCAAACGTGTATGCCGCAACTTACCCAAGAACTGAGGGACTTATTCACAGCTTAAGTATGCGTTGAGTCTCGTGTACTCACCATGTATCGGCTTCGTCAAAGCATCCTTCTTGTGGACGCTTTACAAACTTCGTTCAAACAATGTTTGGATCAAGCGGTGTATCCTCGGCCTCCAAGCGATCAACACCATTTTCATCGTTGCTTTCACGATACTTGCTGCAATACCCTGCTGGCCGATAGCGAAGAACTGGCAACCCGACCTGATTGGGGGTTGCTACGATCCTCTAGATTACATCCTGGCCAACATCTCGATCGTACTTATCACTGATGTCCTAGTTCTTCTGTAAGACTTCCTCGCATGCACCAAACGACCGATGCTGACATTGCACCAGGATTCCGACATGGATAATCTGGGACTTGCAAATGCCATTCAAGCGCAAGATTGTCACAGTATCGTTTCTGTCTCTCGGTCTCATCGTAATAGCAATCGGCGCTGTGCGATTCGTTTGGCTCATCGACGCTTTCAAAGGCAAAACAAAAAGCTACAGTGTCAAAGCGTCCTACTCTGCAATCGAGTCTAGTGTCGCTATCATTGGAACCTCGGGGCCAACTATCAAATACATACTGTCACGCTTCATACCCTGGCTCCGTCCTTCATTTGAGCGCTCAATCGCGAACAAGAACTCATACGACGCCTATGGGAACCACTCGAATGTTGCTGCTAGGCGAGCAAGGTCACATTACGGGACGAAAAGTGGATATGATGATTTGGATATGGTGAGCGTTCACCATGAACAGTTCGAGATGAAGAGCGGTTGGCAAAACAAGAGGGGGCGGGATGACGACGCAAGAAGCGATGAGCAGCACATCACAGGCGAAGGTCACGGCATCAATAAGACAGTAGAATGGATGGTAGACACGAAAGAGCGCTCGCATATTAGCAAAACAGTCTCGGATGATCCGAATGTCGCTAACGACAAGCCTGCGACAAGTCCCGCACAGATCATTTAGGCTGGAGGTGTCTTAGGGCAGCAAGATATTACATACATGGCGAGTCCTGCTATGAGTATAGCTTTGATCCAACGATTTTCCTAAGTGCATGTTTGTTGTAGAAACGAATTTGCGATGTGAAATGAGTCCGCTGTTGGGCGGCATTCGGCCGCAGCTGACCCGCGCTCGCTGCCGGTCTTGTTTCCGGATCTTGGGGCGCGGTATACCCGATTCGGCGACTTCCCTCAGTTTCAATTGCCTGGCCCGCGGTTGGCCGAGCCATAAGACGGTATCTCTACTGATACTGGGCATCGCAGATAACTGAACGATGTCGCGAATTGACGGCGCCGAAGTAGCAAAATCCAAACTACAGTCATATTGGGTGTGCAACCAGCTGCCCCGGCATCGAGACGCGACCCATTGACTTCACGCCCGTCGAGACTTGTCCGATGGATTTGAAGATTTTATCACTTACCAATCATGCCAATGCGCACGCGTGCGCAATGTCAGTATTACGAGGACGACGTCATGGACGATTCCTAAGCAATAGCTTAGAAAGAAATGGCTCTCCACACGCATTCGCATATAACCCCTCCACAACGCGCTGAAGCTACCCCTCTTCATGTCACTACTTCGACCCTCCATCTCCTCACAACTCCGACAATTCACACGTCTCCCCGCCCAAACGCGCAAACCTCTCCGATCGCACTTCCACAGCTCACAGCCGTTGCTTCGCATCCTTCCCGAAATGGCCGACGGCGAACCCACCGGACTGAAGGCGGACAAGGGCATCGAGCTGCTCACCTTCGGCACGCCCAATGGATGGAAGGCTAGCATTCTGCTCGAGGAGCTCAAGGAGGCCTACGGAAAGGACTACACATGGCAGAGCATCAACATCTCAAAGAACACACAAAAGGAGCCCTGGTTCACCAAGCTCGGCCCCAATGGACGCATCCCGTAAGCAATGCCACCCCACGAACTACTTGTGAGACGCGTGCTGACCTTGCATGCCAACAAATAGTGTAATCGTCGACCACGACCAGGGTGGCTTCGCTGTCCAAGAAGGTCTCGCAATCCTCACGTACCTCACGCGCCACTACGACCCCGAACACAAGTTCAGCTTCAGCGACCCTCTCGACGTCTCGCGCGCAGAACAATGGATGGCATGGCAACACGGCGGCCTCGGCCCCATGCAAGGCCAGGCCAACCACTTCAACCGCTTCGCCAAGGAGCGCATTCCCTATGCCATGCAGCGTTACACAGGCGAGACCGAACGTCTGGTCGGCATCCTCGATTCGCACCTCGCCAACACCGACTATCTCGTAGGCAACAAGTTCAGCATCGCCGATATTGCCAGTTTTGGATGGGCCCACATGCTGCGCTTCTCCGGCGTTGACCTCGATTCATTCCCGAATGTGAAGAAGTGGTTGGAGCGCATACAGGCACGACCTGCAGTCCAGCGCGGCTTGGACATCCCAAGCAAGAGCGGCTTCGGAAACGACACGTACTTGCAGAAGTTGAAGGATGACAAGGAGTTTGCGGAGAAGGAGAACAAGCTCATGGAGCAGATCAAGGCTGCCAAGGAGCAGTATGGTTACAAGTACTCCAGTCCTTAGACGGGTTCAGGTCTTTGGTACGCTGGATAACTGTATGTGAGCGTAGTACAAACCGTGGGTGATTAATACCCCGCGAATAAACCAATATTATTCCTTATAAAGATACCGCATTTGTGCCACCGCAGAGACGTCTTGAAATACATAGCTTCCAGGCGCCGAAACTGTCAACCTATTACACAGTCCAATGTTGCTCGTCACACGCCATTTCCTGCGACAGCGAAGTTACCTCGGACTTCACGGTAAGTTTCATGATGCAGATGCTGGTGTATTGCCAGCGAATCACATTGTGAAACATCCCTGCTCTGGAAGCAACGCTACGCGAGGTCCACTACGTCAGCGTCGGCGCCTCAAACAGGGTCATCAGAACCACACGTTCACAACGCGCTGGACGTGTGGTCAGGCGCCAACGCATGGGTTGGCGCTTTCGATGCCACGAAGTACTTCACGGTCTGCTTTAAGAGAGAGGCGATGGAGAGTCGAATTATGCGTCTACAGCGTTGCATCTTGTTCTCCCCACGTCTCATTCTCATCACCGCCGGCTTTGACAGTCGCGGGACAGTCCCTTCGTACTTCCATTCTATCGTGCCTTGCCTATCTATCGTTCCAGTAGCGTCTATACCCCTTTTATCGTATATCTTCCAAATAGCCTTGCTGTCACACCTTCTCTTTGCCGATCCTTCCCAATTCGCACAGAAAGAGCGCGTGCACAAATTTAATTAATCCCTGGAAGCCACATCCCACCCCAGGATAAACCCCCGACGTCATCGCGCTTGGAAGGAAGAGGGAACGGTGACATTGTCAAGACCCTGAAGTTCCCAGGGTCCAAAAGAAACCTTGTGTGCCAACGAGGTTTAGCACGCCCAAGTTACAGCGCAGCGGTGTTGTTTCGGTCACAGTACGAGAGACGACTTTTGTCTAATCACTGCGGTTCACAACTATTTCTTCTTCCCCGCTCTATCCATTGCGACTACTCCAACGACCGAGATCCTCTGCGAACCACCGAAAGACGAAGAGAGACATCCGCGCACGACGTTTAAATCAACAAACTCTACAAAGTCGCGCATCGCATCTACAATAGGTAAGACATTGTCTACCTGTCTCACACAGATCCATACACACATATAGACCAATTTCTCGAGCTCAGCTAACGCAAAAATGCTAAGTGTCCTTGCAGCCATGGGCTTCAAATTCCTCTCGCGTAGCACTCTCCGGGGCGAGAAAGCCACCCTAGGAACCTCGCTCGGCGCGTCCCTCACCCCAACAACCATCCTGCGCCTCGTCCTGCGCTTCTTCCAATTCGTCATGGGCCTCACCGTCATCGGACTCTACGCCGTGGACCTGGACAACGCGCGCAAGCAAGGGAAATACGTCGACTCGAAATGGGTGTGGGCTGTTGTGTGCGGCACACTTGGTGCGCTTTGCTCCCTCCTCGCCATGGTACCGCTCATCAAGGCGTGGTTCTTCTTCGCTGTTGATGCGCTGGTTTTCCTGTGCTATCTCGTTGCGTTTGGCATCTTTGGCAAGATGTTCATTGGCGAGAATCCAGAGGGAAACAAGGGTATCACCAGGATGAAGAATGGGGTGTGGGTGCTGCTGACGAACATGCTGCTTTGGTTCATTTCTGCGGTAATTGGGGGTATCATGTTCTGGAAACACTTCAAGGCAAGGACTACGCATACTGGCCGTGGCGCTATGCACGTCTAAAGCCCCCCTCCTATCCTACCCTTCATGTGAGGGACTGGAATTGAGAGGTGTGCTGACAAGATGTACTTCCTGCAGAGGTTCCGGATCAGCTTTGAATTCGACAACGGACACGGCGACGATGCGTCCTGGCTTCATGCGCCCAAGACGGTTGCTTAGGGGCCACAATCGTCAACATCAAGAGCTTGTTCCAGCGTGGACGGTACAACCAAGTCTCACAGTCTAGCCGTGTCAGATGAAAACCGTCCTCCATCGCTCGTACAGTCACCACACCCTCCAACGCACTACTCCAGAAGTTTTCTTCCTCTTCCCACGATTCCTTGCACTGCCTGTTGCAAACACCAGCACCATCTCTCCGTTCGAAACCAGCGTTGTATTTCTGCGCCATTACCAAATGTATCTGCGCCCACGCCCCCGCCTACCTATCACACGAACCCCACCACCACTGCATGTTCCACAGCATCCACGAGTAATGAGGAAGGAGTTGTTGGAGGTGACACAGACGAGGTCTCTGCGAGCTCTTTTCATACTTGGCTTTCTCATTTCCCTGATACTTCGATACCCTCTGTTTTCCGCGAAGCGCTTTCTTGAGTAATGCGTTAGTTTTATTAGCAATATTACTGGTAAAATCATTGAACAATCTCATGAAATAATTATACCACGTTATGTATCCATGCTTTGACTCATGATCGCCCAGATATGACGATGTAGGATTATTTATATGCTTGAAGTGCGAGATGGTCGAAATGATATACATTGTGTATGTGTTGGGGAACTTTCCAAGTTCCTGGTCTCATACGAGCACACCTCATTGACTAAGGAACGATGATGTGTCACAGGGCCACCGTGTGATCGTATGGCCAATGAGTGAGCGGTGAATAAACATAATCGAAGGCAGAGTGCAATAATCATTCTTGGAAGGACATCGCCGGGAGATACGTCAAGGCCAGCAACGGCGGTGAAAGGTGAGGGGCTGGGTCTTCAACTGGGTGCAGAAGTCCACACGAATATCTCCCAGTATCATCATCACACATCGGCATAGCAGAAAGGTTGTAAAGTTAAAGGTTTTATTGGTATCTCATATCCATAATCATGGTGCTATCGTGAACCGGGCGAGAGTCGCAGTGCTCATCGCTCAAACCATAGTGGTATCGTTCTGAACCTTGTGATTGTTAGAAAGGTGTCAAGGAAGGACGGATGTAGACTACATACCGAAGTGAAATGTCGAACCGGTGCTCAGGTACTGAGTACTTAGATGGAGCGCTTGTTGGCCTCAGCGGAGCCCTCGTGCTTCTCCTGGTTCATCTTGTCGGAAGCAGCGTTCAGGGCACCGGAGGCACGGTCGGTGATGGAGTCCTGGCCGGGGACGTTGCCCTTAGCCTGCTGCTTGTTGGCCTCCTTGTTGGCCTCAGCGGACTGGCCCTGGACGGTCTCGGCGACGTAGTTGGCGGCGTTCTTGACAGAGTTGACGGCCTGGCCGACGATGCCCTCGTTGGGAGTGTTGGCGTTGGGAGCAGACATTTTGAAGTGTTTGGGGTTTGAGGGGTTTGGTTTGGAAGAAGTGGTAGTGTAGATGAGGTGATGAAGGCTTGTTGTGTGATGGAGGAAGCAAAGGGGAGACGGGTGAGGGTATTTATGTAGAGCAAGAGGGGTAGGTGAGGGAGGCTAGTGAGGGGCTGAGGGCTGAGCGCTAGGCTCCAACAGAGTGCAAACAAACATACGTCACTGTTTCCGGTGGTAAGTGACGTCACACAGGAGGGCCCATGGAATGAGGGCCAGACCACGCAAGCGCGATGGGGTACCCGCAGCCACGAACCATCACATGCAATGCACAAACCCACGCAAGAGAGTGGCACTTTTTGAAAATTCCGCTGTCGATCGTGGATAATCATGCAAATCGCGTCATGGGCGAATGGACAATCATCTGGCATTCGCTGCGTGCCTGAATGATGCCCCTCTATTGCCCCGCCGGTGACGTCAGGTCGTGTACCGCGGCTTGCTTCAAGACAGCAGCCCAACAAAGCACGCAAACGCTTGCCGCAAAGAAGCCACACTTAAGCTGTCACGCGCTCCTGTTTCAGCCCGAGGATAGGCGGTAGCCGCAGGAATGCAGGGCCAGCTGAGATCCGAGGGGGTCGGTTCCGGAAGGTGCTTGTTCCCGGAGGAGTCTACTCCGCTGGCGTTGCTGCATACTGTGGCCTGGAAGCAGACATGTTGCCATACTCTGACAGCCAACACGTCATACGTAGTCCTTATCGAGATGTCTCCACCCGGATCCAGTGACCTGGCAGATCCGCCAAGTGGGGGTAGCTGTAAGGACAGATCTTCTTCCCGTGCCTTGCTTGACTACATGTTGTGGACACATGTTACGTCTGCGTACGAAGATCAAACACCCACCAGCAAACGTACAAAACCAATCGCAGACACGGACACACAAGCATGATGGATTCAACCGTATGAAAAAGGGGATTAATTGCCGCTGTGAGCGGATGATCTAATACCTCTATGGTACCAAAAATCTAAACCGGGAAACTGGAAACGAGCGATGCGAAGGGAATCGTGACAGCGCCTGTACCAGCAAGCCCACTGCCACTCGTGCAGTCGTCCGTCGTTGGGTATCGTAACTTAAAGGATGGTACAATGCGGTCGGTGTCCCCGGCGCTTAGGCCTTCCAGTATGCGTCCGCGACCTTGGGCCAGGTCTCGGTGAATCGGGTGGGGCCATGCGCTGCCGTTCCTGTTGATCTTTGCGGATGATTTGCCTGCAGAGGTCGACAAAGGCTTCATCCACATTGGCTCTTCTCCGAGCACTGGTTTCAAAGTACGGTATGTTCCACTCACGGGAAATTGCAAAGGCGCGTGGGCGAGGCACTGCTCGGTCTTCTTCTAGATCTGACTTGTTGCCGATGAGGACCATGGGAACGTTGCTATCTTCCTTTATTCGTCGTATTTGCTCCCGAAGCTCTGCCAGTTCCCAGAACGACGATGCCGATGTTATGCTGAAGACGAGAAGGAACCCTTGACCGGTTTTCATATACAGTTCCCTATGGGGTGTAAGTCGTGAGCTGGCATGGGACTCAAATGGTGTATTACCTCATAGCAGCTGCTTATGGTTAGTCATGGGTCGCGTGTGTATGGGCGGCTGTAGATACTTACTGAACTGTTCGGTGCCTGCAGTGTCCAGGATCTCCAGAATGACATGACGGCCCTTCAGCGGGTCAGCAACAGGGTATTGCAGCAGGGTCGAAGCACACTCACGTCAACATCAAGCACCTTTCGGTATGAATCTTCAATGGTGGGATCGTAACTCTCTATCCATACATTCTGCACGAATTGCGCTGTGGACAAGTCAGCGCTGCTGTGGTGATGGCGAGTACTCGAGGCGGTAACCTTACCTGTTAGGCAGCTCTTCCCGACTCCACCTAAGGCGCCACTCTCGTCAGTTGTGACCTAGTTGCTGACGGTGTCTAACTAGCTTACCAGAACCTAGGACGACTATGTGGTACTCCCGTTGCGACATGCTTCAGATTTGCGTGGGCAGCTTGCTGCGAGGCCAGGAGGTTATTGACGAGAAGTGCTCCTCGCCTCCTGTGGCGGTGGGTGCCACAGAGGGATGAGCGGCTCAAAGCCGCCGCCGTCTAGCAAAGGCTAAGGAAGTCGACTCGTCGTGCTGCCTGGACACTGCGTCGGTCTGTACCAGAGGGCTGAGTCGGCGGTGCGCGTCGTACTGCGCTCTGGGCCAACCACACTCGTCAGCGCATCGATTTCCAAACCAAGCCACGTCCAATCAGACAAAAGCAGCCTCGAATGCAGCAGGCGACGAGCCACAGAGGCAAAGCGACTGCATGCATGCGCGGGGCAAGTTTGTGTAACGCACCTGTTTGACGCGCCGAGGTTGGGGGCTGGGGAAGATTTTTCCGTCACGTGAAGGTCGAGGTGGGAGAAGGAAACGGCGTCGCGATAATCAGGGAGCAAGCAGCGACAAAGAGGTAGCGAAGAAAGGCACATGCATGCAGTAGACTTGGTAGGGCTTAGCAGGAGATATGCCAGGTGTTCGGCTCTGGGGTGCAGCCCGTACAGCCCGTAATTATGCCAAAAAACAAAGCGCCGAGATGCTGCGAGAGAGAGGGAGACGAGGTCGTCGCGGCCAGTCGCGAAACGAAGCCAGGGCGCCGGGACAAGCTCCAATCTATGATAGCGTGGCCCTCTGGTCGAGTCGTGCACAAGAAGGGTTCGCAAGGCTGTCGAGCAAGCATCCTGTCGACGTAATAATCGCCCATGGAGAGCCTCCCGCTTCCCCGACGCCGCCTGAACTGAGTCGTGAAGAGCCTGGGCTGGCGGTTTGGGTTAGGGAGCAGGGCATCCAATAAGGGTCCCGTGATCTGGAGCAGGCCGGGCACGTGCGCCCTGGCACTGCAGACGTGTGAGGGCAGCCGACACAGGGCGCATGGGAGCCGAACGACGACGACGCCGACGACAAGCTCCAATTCCACCCGACCATGCGTTTTAGTGCTGCTGTCGCCATTGCAGCATGTCTCGCGCCGGCTGCGGCCATCTTCGAGGACGATGCCTACCACATTGATTTCCACTATGCCCTGCTAGGCCTTCCTGCCCCAGAGGCCACCTTCTTCCAGAAGCCCTATGCGGGCTCCAAGGCATCGCTCCTGTACTCGATATCCCAGAACCAGACCATCGGCGCCATCAACCCCAAGGATGGCGCGCTCGTGTGGCGGCAGCACCTGGCCTCGCAGCCCGGCCACCGCGGACATTTGCGTTCAGGCAACGAGCAGGACACCGTAATCAGCGCCGTTGGAGACCGCGTCACGTCGTGGAGCGCTTCCGACGGCCGTCTCGTGTGGGACACCAGCCTCGGCGGGGCTGCAGTCGAGGATCTGGAGATACTAGAGCAGGAAGATGGCATGACCATCAGCGCGGCCAAAGACGCCATTGTCCTGGCTACCGATAGCAGCAACAGTGTCAAGAGGCTTGACGGCAAGACTGGGCGCGTCAAGTGGACGTACGAGGACGCGAGGTGGCTATACCAACCAATGGCAAGATAACAAACACTGACAGTCCACAGCGGAGACACGCCTTTCCAGGTCTCGACCTCGCCGACTACCGTCTACTACATCGCCCTCCACACGCCCATGCTTGGAGGCTCCAAGCTCCGAGTCACGTCGCTCAACCCCATCACAGGAAAGAAGCTCGACCAGTACACCCTCAACTCGGACACTGAGATCTCCTCGCGCGACCGAATCCTCTTCGCCGGAGCCAACACGGCTGCCCCACTATTGGCGTGGACCGACAAGGCGAACAAGGTGCTGAAAGTCAACATAATCGGAACCAAAGCTGTGTCGACTTTCAACACGCCAGGTGACGAAGTCATCGAGAACATCGTTCTCCATGCGCCCAACCACATCAATTCGCTTGCCCACTTCCTCGTCGAGTACCAGACTGCCATCGGCCATTCTGCTGAGGTCTACCACGTCGATCTCAACAAGCAGACCGTCTCCAAGGCCTATAGCCTCCCAGAGCTGAGGACCAAGGGAACTTTTACTACAAGCACATCCGATGCCAACGTTTACTTCACGAGGGTTACCGAAGACGAGGTGACAGTTTTCTCTTCCGTCTCGCACGGTGTCTTGGGTCGCTGGACTGTCAAAGGCTCTCCGGCACTTGCGGGCGCCTTCCCTGTGCATGGCCAATCTGAAGTTGTTGTGAAGTCAGGAGCCGCCAGCGCTGTGCGATCGGCCGTTCTGTACTCCAACGGACAGTGGGCACTCCTGCGAAACGATGAAGTCGCTTGGACCCGGCCCGAATTCTTGTCTGGCGCAGTCTCCGCAGTCTGGGCCGGTCTGCCCGAACAGGAGGCCCTGGCACAAGCACTTGCCGACGAAAGCCATCGCAACCCTGTCTCCGCTTATATCCACCGTGTGCAGAGGCACCTCCAGGATCTGCAATACTTCCCGGCGTGGGCGCAGAGCATTCCCCAGCGCCTCTTGAGTAGTGTGCTTGGCAAGACAAAGGAGACAACAGTCGACGACATTCAACAAGACACTTTTGGTTTCCACAAGCTTGTTATCGTCGCCACCAAGGCGGGTCGCCTTGCTGCCCTCGATGTTGGTTCGCGAGGGAAGGTGATGTGGAACGTGGACCTTGGCCAATTCGCGCCCGACACGAGCTTCCAACACCCAACTCTCAAGGCTCACAGCGGTTATGTTGAAGTGAAAGACGCCAGCTTCCAGGGGTCAATGTTCATCAATTCGACAACTGGTGGCCTCATCACTTCCGACAAAATCAAGCTTGAGCCTTCGCTAGTTGCTGAGGGGCAAAGCCTTATTTCGTTTACCTTGGTTGACGGCACTCTGAAAGGATACCTGGAAAGCCAGCCTGGTTCCGAACCAGTATGGAGCTTTACGCCACCTGTCGAGGAGAAGATTGCCAGCTATGTCGCTCGCCCGATCAAGGACCCTGTTGCCTCTATTGGCAAAGTACTAGGCGACAGGAGGGTACTGTACAAGTACCTGAACCCAAACCTCGTCCTAGTCACAACAGTGGTGGAATCTGCGCGATCCGCATCCGTCTATTTGCTTGATTCTGCATCTGGACAAGTACTACATACTATGTCACACAACGATGTCGATACCACACGACCCATTCCAGCCACAATCTCAGAGAACTGGTTCGCGTATGCGCTGACTATCGATGCTGCATCTGGCGCTTCTTCTCGCGGCTACCAACTCGTCGTCTCTGACCTTTACGAATCCCCGCTTCCCGACGACAGGGGTCCATTAGGTGCTTCGTCTAACTCTTCTACCGTGAAACCCTCGGGTTCGAACGGCGACGCTGCGAAGCCTTATGTACTATCGCAGAGCTATCAAGTACCAGCAGAGATTACACACATGAGTGTCACACAGACCAGACAGGGCATCACCAGTCGTGAGCTCCTCGTCACTTTACCCGCACTCAACGCTATAGTTGGCATTCCACGCATGGTGATTGATCCTCGCCGACCCGTCGGTCGTGAGCCTACTGCGCAGGAAGCGTCTGAAGGTCTGGTCAAGTACACACCCCTCATCAACTTCGACCCGAAGTGGCACCTTACCCACAAGTACGAAGTCTTGGGTATCGAAGATATCATCACAAGTGAGAGCGGAATCGAGAGTACTAGTCTGGTCTTTGCCTATGGTTTGGATATCTTCGGAACACGAGTTGCACCCAGTTTCTCGTTCGATATCCTGGGCAAGGGCTTCAACAAGATTTCTATGCTTCTGACCGTTGTTGGACTGTTTGTCGGGGTCTTGTTCGTTGCGCCTTTGGTAAGTCCACCCTCTCTACACTTCTGTACATTGTTGTGTTACATGATGTACTAATCAGCACTCCAGGTCAAGCGGAAGCAGATCAACACCATGTGGACGACACTATGATCGGCTATCTAACGATAGCTTCGTAAGAGAAGCAGCATCGAACATATTCAGGTCTCGAAGAGACTTGATAAACCTGCAAACACGCTTGGTGCTCACGCTGCAGAGCTGCGCCAGCATGACAGCTCCCATGATCAGCACGGCTTACTGAGCCCTCTTGATCGAGGTCACGATACCTCATAAAGCGCACGTTGAAATGAATAATCAAGTCAATGCTCATTTTTTGACACTCAATTGTGATGATGTAATGCATGACGGCTGTACCCGCATATACATATGACCTTATCTCCGTTCATCTCCATGCAGGAAATTGACGGGCACGTTTGTACCTTTCTCCAATGACGTCGAGCAGAGGTAAAACGGGTGGAGAAATCACGCTATAAGCTTAGAAGCTAGCAAGACGATTTGTTCATCACGGAGATAACAACGGCGACTAGACGTCAGGCACAATGATGCAAGTGCCGTTGTGGATTGCTGTGGAGATCTGCGTATATATACCACTAACCGTGCTGCTAATGTGGGGAACAGTGTAATACACAACTCTCTATCTTCATCGGCTTGTACTACCTCAATACTCATCACAGCAAAGACCGATCGTGCGACCAACAGCTAAACAACCCGCATACTACCTACACTCTTCCCATCTACCAATACACACACCAAACCGCCCAAACCATGACCGACCAAAAACGCTACACCAATAAACTTACCGACTCGCGCATCCTCGTGATTGGCGGTACATCCGGCCTCGGCTACAGCGTCGCAGAAGCCTGTCTCGAAAATGGCGCTCTAGTAACCATCAGCTCCTCCAACCTATCTCGCATCGATGCCGCTGTATCCAAACTCAAAACCGCGTATCCCTCTGCCGCTGACCCCAAAAACCCGCGCATCAGGGGGCTTGCCGTTGACCTAGGCAAGCCAGACACGCTAGAAGAAGAGTTGAAGACGCTGTTGGAGAAGACAGTGGAGAGCATGCCGGAGAGCAAGTTGGATCACGTTGTTTTTACTGCGGGGGATAAGTTGGCGGATATCAAGTTGGGAGATATGGTGTGTTGATGTCTTTTTTACCTCTTCTCACATCTCCGTATCGGTGTACACGATATGGCTAACAGCATCTCCAGACGATGCAAAACATCCTTGCAGCTGGCCAAATCCGTTTCTTCGCGCCCTTGCTCCTGGCAAAACACCTCCCGCACTACCTTGTCCAAAGCTACAAATCTTCCTACACCATCACCACAGGCGCTGTATCCGAAAAGCCAATTCCCAACTGGAGCGTTATTGGCGCGTATGCTGGTGGACTACACTCCATGGTGCGCAATTTGGCTCTCGATATGAAGCCCATTCGCGTTAATGGCGTGAGCCCGGGCGCGGTGGACACGGAGATGTGGGATCATCACGGCGAGGAGAAGAAGCAGGAGATTATGCGGGGCATGGAGAGTAGGATGGCGACGGGGCGGGTGGGGAGGCCGGAGGATGTGGCCGAGACGTTTTTGGGGTTGTTGAGGGACTATAATGTTGACGGGACGATGGTTAGGACGGATGGCGGGGGTATGCTGATGTGAGGTTTTGGTTAAGTAATTGAATGTATTTCCCTTGGGGCTGTATCTCATAGATATCTCACCTCCTCGGAATAATGTCCTCAAGATGACCTCTCAGGATGACCCGTCAGAGTGAGTCCGCAAGATAACAATCTCCTCTGGTCGCAAGGAAGAGAAGCTTCAATCCTCCGTGCTCCTAACCAAAACCCTCAATCCCTTACTCTCCAGCTTCGCAACCGGAATGAAGAAATCATGACCCAACTCCACATCGCTTACATCACTCTCATGGAGTTCAAACTTGTACTTCCGAAACAGCATACCTAGCGTGAGGTACAGCTCCACATATGCCAGATTGATACCGAGACAATTGCGCGTACCGCGACCGAAAGAAACCATGAAGCGCTCAAGCGGAATGCCATCTGCGGTCTTGGGATCGTTGAGCCAGCGCTCTGGGATGAAGGTGCGGGAAGACGGAAACAGGGTTTCGTCGTGGGAGACTTCGGGGATGGTCATGGACTGTGGGGGTGGGGTTAGTTCGGATGCGATGGGAAGATGGATCATGAAGGAGGGTAATGACTTACGATGCAAGTATCTGCGGGGATGACCCACTCTTTGTACTGCAAAGGCGTCTTGTGTGTCCTGGGGTTTCTGGCACTCAGGCCGTATGACATGCGCGCGGTCTCCATGATGATGGCTTTGAAATACGGCATTCTTTCCAATGGGCCCAGCTCCAGTTTGTCTCTGTTGGGAAAAGCTTCTACGAGCTCTTTGTGCAGGCGCTCGTAGATGCGTGGGGTGCTGATGATGTGGAACGCGGCTGTGGACAGGGAGAAGGCGGTTGTCTCTACGCCGCCTCCAATAATGATTTGCGCTTCATCCTCGAGACGTTTTTGGGTTTTGTCAGAGTCTGGTAGCTTAGAGGCGACAATCTCTTGAAAGATGGTCTTCTTCGCATCATTGGATTTGATGTCCTCGCCTTGAAGGGTGCGCGCAATGTGAGTTCGGTTATCCTGACTCGCATGTTAGACTCAACACGGTATAGATGCAGTGCTGTGCCGCATACCTGCTTGAACTTGAGCACTGGCTTCACTGCTGGCTGCAGCCAGCCGCTGATACGGTCAGGGATACAGTCGAGAATCTGCAAAAAACCATGTCAGTTCCACGTGTGACTGGTGCACATCTTGAATGATCTAAATATAACCCACGGGAAGTATCATGGGGAACTGCGTGGCGATGTGACCCACACCGCCAACCCGAATAAAAGCATCATGGAATGACTCGAATTCAGGATGCTTGAGCTGGTTGTAGTTGAAGCCGAAGAAGTAGTCCATGATGATGTCGCCTGTCAGGGCGGGGAAGGCATGGGATAGGTTAAGCGGCTCTGCGCGAGCCTCAAACTCTTGCATGCGCACGGAGAGGGTGTCGACATGGCGGTGGATGATGTGTATGAAGTCGAGGATTGAGCGGCGTGAGAACCTGACAACAGGCGTTAATCGTGCCGAGGTGCTGTGCACTACATGTTGAAGCACCTACATGGGAGCCAACGCAGCACGGCGTCGCTTGTGCTGCTCCGCGTTGACGGTCGGCAGCAGGCCGCCTGCACACCCAAACCTCTTGTCCCAACCCTCCTTGTCGAGGTGGACGTTCTTGGCGTAGACTTGGTCGTAAAAGTATGGGTCTCGTATGTGCAGTTCATCAGGCGTCACTCTTACAATAGGGCCATAGACATCGTGGAGCTTGGAGATTTGCTTCGAGTACTGCCCCTTGTGGACAATTTCGTAGTAGCCCTCGTACCAGCTTGTGGCTGCCGCAATCCTGGGGCCAGGAAAGCGGGATAGTGGATGGCAATATAGGCGGTAAAAGACACGTGCGAGGAGGTACACAAAGTACGCCAGCAGACGCAGAGCGGGAAGAGACATGACGGCTGGCTGTCAGAGAGGCAGTAAGTCGATCAGGCGGCGAAGCGCTCTTTAGAGAGCAGAGTGCGCTCCTACATGTCGCTAAGGCATGTGGTGTTTGCAGACTGATTATGGAATGGGGTGCGTTTGACCCGGCATCCTGGATCCTACGGCATGGCCGACGAAAGTAGAGAGGTGGAAGATATAAGGCGAGGCCTGACCCCGCGAGTGCAAACGCTCTTGGAAAAGAACTGGAACACAGCATGTCAGCCCCGCAGGATCCAACAGCCGAGGGCAACCTGCAATCCGTTCTGCATCTCGACGTCGACACGGCCAACAACAGCGATAGCGATTCGGCATTCGGCGGCGAATCCACGGCATCCACGTCCATCGCATCGACTATCCTCAACTATGAATACTCCAATGGACGGCGATACCACGGCTACCGGTCCGGCTCGTACATTTTACCGAATGGTCAGTCCCAAGTGTACGAAGTGCATGTGAGACCAATGCTGACTTTGTACCTCCACCTCTGCAGACGAACAGGAGCAAGACCGCCTCGATCTCCTCCACCACATCTTCCTCCTCATCCTAGGCGGCAAGCTCTACGATGCACCCATCCCGCCTGCGCCCCAGCGCGTGCTCGACATCGGCACCGGCACCGGCATCTGGGCCATAGACTTCGCCGATGAGCACCCAGGAGCACAGGTCATAGGCACTGATCTCAGTCCCATCCAGCCAACGTGGGTGCCGCCCAACGTCAAGTTCTACATTGACGATGCCGAGTCGGAATGGGTCTACAGCCCCGACGAGGCCTTTGACTTCATCCACTGCCGAACCATGTCTGGCAGCATCTCCGACTGGGACAAGCTGGTGCGGCAGACGTACACGCACACTAAGCCCGGTGGTTGGGTAGAGTTTCAAGAGCCGCTTGCGTTGTGTGAGTGTGACGACGGGACCATGGAGCTGGCAACCGACATGCTCAAGGTAAGGTTTGACTGTACGAAGTGCCCGTGAGACATATGCTGACTTCGTACCTCTATCTCTAGTGGCAGGAGTTGTGCCACGCTGCCGCTAAAACGTGGGGAAGGGACATCACGGCCGGGGATAGCCTGAAGCAGCGGATGACGGATGCAGGGTTCATCGATGTTCACGAGAAGCTCATCAAGGTATGTCTACCCTCTTCCCCTACACTATGCCGTTTACGAGGCTAATGCGGTGCCTGTAGATCCCTATCGGCCCTTGGGCCAAAGACGCGAAAATGAAGGAAATCGGCCGCTACCAGCGCGAACACATGTCCATGGGCATCGAGCCTTACACTCTCGGTCTCTTAGGCAAGGTCATGGGCTGGAGTGAGTCCGAGTGCCGTGTCATGATTGCCAAGGTGGTCGCGGATATCAGGAGGAAGGATGTGCATATGTATATCCGCTTCTACTTTACTCACGGACGAAAGCCGACGTGAGGGCTATATAGCCAGTATATATGATACCAGTCAATTACATTCGTCGCTTAACTCGCGTGAGCGCCCTTTCAACAACGGTCCTCCCTAGTTGAGGTATACTCTGGCCACCGTATATTTCCTGGTCATTCTCGTCTTGCTCGCCCTCTACACTAGCGGGTACGACTCTGACCTCGTACTGTCGCGGCGGATCCCTCAGACCCGGCCAGATATCCAAGGGCAGGAAATCACCCTGAGCCACGGTAAACTGCTCCCTTGCACGTTCATCCTCGAGGCGTATCCTATCTAGCTCCTTTTGCGCTTCCTCAGCCTTCCGTTTGGCCTTTTCGTGCCGCCTCCGTCGTGACGACACCTCAACGAGGAGTTCGGCGTAGGCCAGGTCGAAGCGTTCGAAGAAGTCGCGCTGGCTCTCCCACTCGTCGATGCCGCTGAGCAGGCTAGGCCGTGTGTCTTCCAGCCATGAGGCATAGAAGGAGCGTGAGGTCACAATGTGCTCTTTGACTTGGCCAGTGATTTGCGACATCATCTCGAGTATCTTGGACAGGGCTGACGACTCGCTGCGGACATGGCGGATGTGATTCTCGATTTGGCCCAGGAGGAAGGTCATCTCAGAGCCTCGCTCCTGTATCTCGGTCACGACGTCTTCCACCTCCTGCGCGTCCTTTTGCAAGACGTTGAGCATGTCGCGGCGCTCATCTTCGCTCATGGGCTCGGGAGGCGCGGCACCGTTATCCTCAGAGTGGACTGGCGCATCCCCCGTTGCTTGGGTGGCAGCAGCGGAACCTCCTTCTGTATGGCGCAAGGCTGTTATGCACAGGTCGTAGTGCTGGACAAGCGACTGGAATGCCTGCGCAGCCTCTTTTGCGTGGCCCTCAAGATTATGGTATAGGCTGGGTATAGGACTCGGTGTGGACGTGGACACGGGTGTCATGGGCACGTTCTCGATGGAGGAGTAGAGGTTGTCCAGACAAGTATCGAAGACATGAGAGCTCTCGTCGAGCGTGGCATGGGCATCGTTGTAGCGGTCTATGCAGGCGCGCAGTGTGGACTGCAGGTTGGAGACGGTGGCGCTGTCGATGAAGTCGTAGAGATGTTTCTGGGGAGTGCCCGGAGGCTGCAGGGCGCCTTCAATGGGCGTGTCGCGCAGGACGGCGAGGGTAG